TATTTTTATAGAAGTTATAATTTTCGTCCTTATCATAAAAATGAGGTCCCAGACAGATATGCAATTTTCAGTTTTAGAACTATGTTTGATTGATTATTTGCATTCCAAAGCTCTTATATTCAAGCGTGCACACATGCGACTGTATATGATTGTATGCAATTAAGAAATCAAACAGTTTTGTAATTTTATACAAACTAACTGCAATTTTTAGTAAACGCAATCGATTTGAATTGGCGCAGCAGTTTAGTTGCTTTGATGTGCAAGATTTCATTAGCATTAATTTTTTTTAGGATTCACCTTTTTTTTACAATAATTTACATATTATTCACGAGTAATAATTAAATTAAATCACGAGTAATCGCGAAATGTTCATACAAGAAACTGTTACTGTAAGTTGATCGTTGACATTTATTAACATAATTGACATTTTGATCCTATAAAGTTTAAATTAATAATTAAATTCACCTTCAAAGTTTTAAATACCAGTAAGTTTTTAGGATCACATAAATTTTACTTTCATTGAAATAAATTTAATTTGATACCAAATTAACAACAAAATAAATTCAAACTGTTGTTTATCTAAATATATTTTTGCTATCGTCACAGGTACCAACTATTTTAATATTCAGCTCGTATTTTTAATATTCTAATAAAAATTTCCCATTTCATTTGAAAAATAAAAAAAAAAAAAACAAGATAATAAAAAAAAATTACTCATCTTTTTGTTTTTTTGCTTTATAAAGGTAAACAACAAGACTTGTCATTATGACTTAGCGCCAGTGTGTGACGTCATTAATGGAGACAGATTTCTTTGAGTAAAATGCAAAATAGAGAATGTTAAATAACCAAAAAAAACCACTATAGCCATAAAAAATTCTAGAATTTATTTATTATTTGTACATACACACAAGCAATATAATTGAATACATACTTATAGATCACATTTTTTATATACAAGTATGTAGATATGTAAATATACCAGATATCGTTTTTATTGACCAAAAATGCTACTTTCTGTCGAAAATTTTTGTAAATAACCAATCACCGACAAAAAAAAAACAACCTAAAAAAAAATTCAAAACCACAAAAATATTTTTATTTTGAATTCTTTTTTTTTTTTGCTGATTTTTTATTACTCTGTTGGGATTCGATAAAATTTTTCTTTAAAGTTAATTATCTTAAAGTTTTGGACTCATTCTAATAAAAAAAAAATAATATTATAAAAAATGACGAAAAAATGATCAAGAATGTGTGAGTTATCCATGGCAATCATAGGATAATTTCAAAATAAAAAACATAACCATTGTTTAACAAACACTTTTAGATATAAAGAGGCACTAGTAATAAACTTATAAATAAGTAAAATAACGTGACGTGATCTTCCCACATAAATTTTAGAAATAATGTTAACGGAATTCGGAAACTGAATCTATCAATGACATTTCCATATATAAATAAAGCACGAAGTTTTGTACTTTATCATTTTCTTTTTTCAAAACAAAATTAAAAAGGTAATTTTTCAATTACGATATTTATGTACATATATTGACGCATATTATAACATTGAGCACACATACATTTTGTTAATTGAAATAGTATTGTCAAAGTATTTGTCATTTATTTAAGCAATAAATGTTAAAGTTTATAATTATTATGACGTTAGATTTTAGGCCAATTGGAAATACTGAACAAAACAAAAAAATACTTGTGTTACCATATTTGAGATTTTTGAAGCATTAATCAAGCGTCCATCGAGAGCAGCGGGTCTACGTGTCTAAAACTTGTAAAGTGTCTATTATGCTAATTTATTTGTCAAAAACTGACATCAACAACTCTGGTTTTTCATTTTTTTGAAATAATTTAAAAAAGAGATGAAATTTAAAGTTTTAAAACTGAAATAATAATAATTGAGAAAAAAAAAAACGATAATATGGCACTAATTCTCGCATTTGCAAAAACTTTCATAAAAGTCATTCGCTCTTGTTTACCATTTGCAAAGAAAAAATTTTAAAAATCAAATAAATGAAAATGAAATTATGCAATAATTATTACAAACAAAAGTTTATGAAAGAGAGTCTCACACGTTTTTCTCTAAATAAATTTCAAATTTTCTGAATAAACCAACGAATCACGAAATTTTGTTTAAGAAAATTTGCGTAGCTTTTTTAATAGGCTTATAATACTAGTAAACCTCAATACTGAATATTTTGCGTTTGACCTGGTTATGGTACATAAATACACACATACACACATATACATATACCAAAAGTTTCTTATTGTTATAAAATATTGGATCATATTCACGCATAATTTGATTACACAATAATAACAATAATAAATAAAATTTCCCATCTTAGTAATTCTCGCCTACACAATGAGCAGCTCAACATTTTCTTTTGAAAAACGAATGTCAAATTGAATTTAATAATCAATTATAGTCTTATATACAAATATTATAAATATATATACATACTTACATACTTATACCTATATAATATTTCTCTATACACCTAATTGTACAACCTACATACGTATACATACATACATATGTATATTCTTGAATATTTTGCATGCACGTAATTATGCATAAAGCACATTTTATAAACGAACAATATATTGCGTCATTTACAGTTTAAGTGTAGTATTTAAGTATAATTTAAAAAAAAAAACTATTGTAGATAGACATATACATACATGTAAGTATGTATACATACATATAAATATGCTTAGTGTCACGGCATACTTACTTACAATTAGATGTAAGCGATAAAATTTATTAAATATAAAAAAACACAATAAACATCGCGTGGGATGCTTAGTTTTCCTGTAAAAGCTGTTATGAATAAATTGGGAAAAACTAATTATAATGAAGAGGTTCTTTAAAAATTTTTAATATTCATATATGTATGTATGTTCACCTATATGCATGTGCTTGGTAATATTGAAAATATAATGACGAAAATCAAAGCTTTACGTGAAAAATTTTAAATTTTATCTCAATTTATTCAGAAATCATTCAGAAATAGGAGGGAATTCAATTCACGTACATATGTTTATCTTTAGAATAATAGCAATATAATACACACACTCATATACATTAGTAAACTTACATTAATTCCGATTTAAAATTCCGAATTGAATAATTTACTCGAACACCTTAACCTCATGGGTTACATATCATATATGTAATATTTTAATCAATTAAACTCTCAGATTAGTAGTATAATAAATTGTAGTACACATTACAGATCGTTAAACATTAACAATATTAATTTTGTTCGGTTAATAAAGATTATCCGTTTTAAGAAACTTGAAGGTTGTCTACAATAATTGTCATTTTAAATTAACGAAACTTCAAATCAAATTGAGTATAATTTTAAATAACCTTCTAGTTTTATATAATTTTATTAGGTTATATCTTGTAGGTAAGCTTACCTACAAGAGCATCTCACTCACATTGGAATTGTAATAATACCGTATCGATACAGAATTCAGCAATTGGCATTTATAACCTGAATTCTGCATTAAGATATAGTATTATTACAATTCCGAAATTAGGGTATATAATATAATACTCGTAAATATGTAAATGACTGTAATGTGTCAATGTGCGAGATATCGCAGCAAAAGCAATATAACTAAATAAAGAAATCACATTTAAAATTATTGTAATGTTGTAATTAATCTTTTTAATGTTTTGTCTTAATTAATTTTAAAATTTTCAAGTTCTTTTTAAAAATCAATGCAATTGTTTAAATATTGCAATAAAAATATAATGTTTATGTGTATACAAGCAATGACAGGTCTCGATTTTGAATTAAAACTCTACCTAGATCTAGTATACATAAAATTTCAATAAACTGACATTAGAAATGTCAATTTTTTGATGGTATTTTTTCAATAACGGCGCTCCAAATATTTTTATTTAATATTTTAATTTTAAAAAAGACTAGAAGAGGCCTAGAAGCGTAAATTCTGCTAAAGAATTATAAAAATTCGCAAGAGAGTCAAATAATATAAAAAATTACATTCAAACTCGTTGTATGTAAAATACAAAAAAACCACTCATGTGTTTCTTTAATTATAAAATTAATACTCTAATCATATAATCTAATCAGATGACATTCAAAATTTCATAATTTGACGTTTCATCATACGATAATGTATCTGTGATAAAACACACTCAAATAAATATATTACTAACGTTATCAACGCCAATGACACATTAAAATTAATTAACTTTTTCGGCATTATTTCGATTTTATTTCAATTGTTATTAACGAAACTACAAAATTCGAATACTATTTTGGAATTTTAATTAAAAATCGTTTGCGGATATAACATATTTTTTCTCTTTTTTTTTTCTGATTTTGTTTTTTATTTTTTTTTATCAGAAAAAAGCAAAAAAAAAAAACACATTTTCACTCCAAAACAATAATAAATTAGTAATAATAATGTAGTAAAAATCTTTTATAATACGGATTCTATCTACATTTTTTCTACATACATGTACGTATATGTAGGTTAATATATATATACATAAATATGTATACGTACATATGTATATTTAGTATTTTTTCTTTAAGAAGTAAGAAGAAGAAGAGAAAAAATTACAAACCTTTTTTTTTTTATTTTTGTTTTTTGTTTTTAATATAATGATGAGTAGAGTTTTGAAATATAAATTTATACTATACATACATACATATACAAATATGTATATATAAATATATTAGCTTATATGGTTATTTATACATACAATAATGTATATATACATTTGAATATGTAATCAAAATCTGAAGAAGAGATAACCTCTCCCAAAAATGGTCATATTTTGTTGATAATTTACTTATGAAATATACACACGTACATACTAACATTATACATACTTACAAACAGTATGTTGTTATTTCTTAACTCTGTTTTTTTTTTTTTTTGGGCTTTTAAGATTTTTAAATGAAAAAATTTAAAAAAGAAATTTCAAATTGTTACTGTCAGTTGAATGGTTAAGTCCACAATATTATAAAATAAAAAAATTAAACTCGTATATAAAATAATTAATTAAAAAATATAAATAAAATAAAAAGTAAAGAGAACAAACAAATCAGTTAGAGTGTGAAATTAAAGAAACAAACAACAAACCAAAAAAAAAAAAACAAACAAAAATAAATAAGAATAGAAAAATTATTACTGTTTCTTTTTCTTTATTCAAAGTCCAAAAATTAATTTAAAATTTTTCGTATTCCGGGGTCCGGTCTAAATAAAATTCAATTAATTAAAATTTAATTTTTAAGATAAATAAGAACAAAAAAAATGTATCAATTAAATTATTTGTCATTAATATTTATTGCATCAATAAATTATTGTTTATGTGCAACATTTATTGATTTTAATGCATTACATAAAGGTAAATTTAATTAATTAAATTTAATTATTTTAATTGTATAATTATAATTTGATTTACAATTATTATACGTATTATGAGTGTTATTATTATGTATGTATGTACATGTGTATACTGAAGATTAGAATTATTAAAAAAATATTGTTTCCGAATTTAACTTTAATTAAAATTAAAATTTTTTTAATAATTAATTAGTAAATGTAAATAGAAAATTTTGAATTAAAAACTTATTAGGGCCTTATTTAAATATGGTAGAATTTTTTTTCAAAATTTAAAGATTATTATTAAATATTCTGAAAATTGTAATATTATGTTAGGTAATATACAATACAGTGTTCCATATTTTATGAATATTTCAAAAAAAAAAAAATATCAAATCATATACTGAATGACGTATGCAATATATTCTGACGTATTAATACTTATTAAGTACATATATGTACATAAATATTTATGATAAATATTTTTATGATAATTAGCTATTTTAGAAAATAATTCAAATTCTTATTTAAGAAGGTTAATTTGTGATATTTTCAAAACATAAATACAAGTATATGCATAAAATTTCGAAAGAAATCCACTAAATGTGAAATAATGATTCCACTAAAATTATTCATAATAATTCTTAGTACTATACATATATACATACATACATATGTATATAAAATTTTTAAAATATTTTTGAATATTATTAAAACTGGAAATTTTTTTAAAATAACTAGCATAGATATATTGGAATTTTTTTCATAAGTTCAATAAGATATAATATTTGGTCTTAGATCAGAATTATCGTAAATCCAATTTAGAGCGAAGATAGGTTTTGTTTTTTTCTAAATTCATTATATTTAAGTATTAATTTTGAAATTAAAAATTAATCTGAAAAAGAGTTTGTTAGGCTTTTTCGCTTTTTGCTTTTTTAGGGATTATTCAGACATGCAATTTTTTAGTTTTGCAATTACTGCTCGGTTGTTAAATCGTTGCGCGCACATGTAAGCAAATAAATTCTTATGCCAATTCAAATCGATTGCATTAACTAAAAATTGTAATCAGTTTGTAAAAAATTATAAAACTGTTTGATTTTTTTTAATTGAATACGATCATACAGTTGTATGTTTGCACGCTTGAATATAAACATATGGAATACAAATAGGCAATTATAAACAGTTAAAAAACTAAAAATTGCATATCTATCTGAGTCCTTCAAATTAATAAGTACCAAATTTTAAAAATTTCTAATATAGAAAACTAATGTCATTTCTTATGTCATTTTCACATACAAGAAAACTGATTTTAGGATTCAAATTCTAAGCCTGAAAAATGGTAACTATTTAAAAATGAACATATTTCAATTGTATATAAGACTGAATTATTTTTGTCGAAAACCGTAATAAGAGAAAAAAATAAATTTCAAAGAAACATTAAAAATTTAATTCGCTCTTCTGAAAAAATTTCATAATGTGACTTATGACAGTTTTAATCTGAATGGAAATGATAATATTTATATTTGTTATACGCATTGTATTTCTAAATTAATAAAAATTGTTTTCATTATTTCAGATAGGATAAATTGTAGTTTAATTTTTGAAAAATTAATTCATGAAAATAATTGTTTCCTTTGAATTCAATTTAATTTAAATAATTAGATATTAATTAATTACATAATATGTAAAAAAAAAATTGTATTTACATATATTAATTTCTGTAATTATTAAATTAAAAATAATAGTTAAAAAAAAATTTTTTTTTGTTAATAAAACTTTTAATATTCAAATTATACACGCTGTCATCAAGTATACTAATAAATTATCACGTTCTTAATATTATATTACATATATGTATGTATGTATGTATATTGAACTTATAAAGCCACACGATTATTTTTAAGGTTCTAAATTTAACAAAATATCGTGATTTTGTTTCTAAAACTACAATATTCTACTAAGTAAAAATAATATGCAAATTGTTGCTAATCTCGCACATGAAATTTAATATTTTATATATATATATATTAATTAATGATAATTAAAATTTAATTATTGTATATATTTAAAGATCATCCCGGAAAATGTTATGATTCAGAAACAAAACATGCATTCAGTCCAAATGAAATTTATAAACCAATTGGAAGATGTTTAGTATTGGATTGTATTAAACCAGGATATGTTCAAGGAAGCAGGTATATTTATCTATAAAATTATAATGAAATTAAAATTATTCAAATTGAAATTTATTTTAATTCATAAAATTTAAATACAAAAAATAACAGAGTGTTGTTCTTATCAAGAAATAACAGAGTTTTTACTGTGTATATTAAAATTATAATGAGAGAAACAAAATGCCAAAGCGATAAGATTAAAATTATTATTTTTGATCGGTAAAAAAAATTTTTTTTAATAGCTTTTTTGATTTAATCAAAGTTTATAATATATATTTTAAAATTATATTGTAATTTGCATATATGTTTGTCTTTTAATATATAATTAAGTTTTTTAAGATGAAATTAATTACATAAAAAGTATAACACATATAGATGGCGTATAGTAAAGTTAGAAAATAAAATTATAATGAAAAAATATGTGATAAGAGTCAAAATTCAATTTGCAAATAAATTGTAATATTAAATTTTGTGAATGAACTTCGAAATTTAAAAAACTTTAATTATAATAATGATTTTTGAATATTGTGCGTACTCAGTTTTATAAATAAAATTTTTATACTGTTATACGTAATTATTCTATAATATGGTTAAAAATCAAATTTATTTAAATTAATACGAGTATTAACGTGATCGGTTTAACTTTTATGTACGTATATATCGTCGGTATTACAGAAGAGTCACATAACTGCTTTTTTCTGAGTTTATATATACACAAAAATTCAGAATTTTCTAAATTATTTGTATAAAAAAACTCATGTAGCTCTTAGGTTAGTATTTTCGGAAAAATAACATTGTAAATTTTACCATGTATTAGCAACTTGATATTATTGTCGATATTTTCAAATGCGTTTTTCTCGAAACACAAAAAAAAAAGCAGTTTCGTGACTCTTCCATAATACCGACGATATATAAATTTACAAAAACCATGTATATATCGTATCTGACCATTGGTGCAGTGGTTATGGCACCGGTCCTTTAACCGAAGGGTCTCGGGTTCAAACCCCGGTCAGGTCACTATAAAAATTATATTCAATATTATATAACTTAATATACAATACTAATAAAAATATCATACAAGTAATTTTCAAATATTCCTAATATTCGATATTAAAAAAAAAAAAACTAAGAAAAATCAATAGTAAATATTAATATAACCTCAAATAATTAATATATAAATAAAAACTACGGCAGGCTAGTCACCTACCTAGTTAAAACCCTATGACGCTATGAAACTAGTGCATGAGAAATCATGCACTAGCCCTATGCTCCTTCTAGGAGCGAACAAAAAAAAAAAAATGTATATATCGTAATTATAAGCAATGTATATCGTAATTAAAGAATTATTTCATTTATTGTTCTCTTGTTTTAGCGACACTCTGTTTATTGCTTCGTATTTTCAAGAATTCGTTCGATGGTGTGCAATATTATATTAAAATATTATCAAACTTAAAATGCGCTCTGGTTAAAAATAGACTGATATTGAAGTTAGAATCTAGTCAATTTAAAATGTTAATTTATATTATATATAGTTGGTTTTATCGCTGTTCAGAACATCACTTTCATAATTTAATAAAAATAAATCAATTTAAATTAAATGTATACTTAAAAATATTACTATATTTTTTTAAAGTACACTCGCAACTCCCAATATTTTAACCGATTTTATATTATTTTACACAATTTCAAATTTATAATTTTCAAGTAATTAATCAAAGTATTTATTTTATTTTCACATTATAATTATTATATTATCGTATATATTATCAAATTAAATTTAATTAGTAAAATATTTTCAAGTTCCGGGATTTACAAAACTATATATGTATACTTACCTTTATATTATATAGGATCGTATTTATATACATATACGTATCTGTTATACAATTTAAAAATTTTAATAAACAAAATATTTTTAAGTATTATACAACTTTTTTTTTTTTTTTGGTGATAAAAATCTCATATTTCAAGAAATTTTGTTTACGATCAAAAATTCTAAAAATGTTTCATCAAAGGTCATAGTGTTATGTACAAATTTACTACTTATATACCATATATTGTTATACACGTATAATATTGTTATATATGTATAAATATATGGTGTATAAACCCTCAAAATTTCTCATGCTTTCTCATATATTTTAACCTTATATCTATAAATTTAATGAATTAATTAAATATTATATTCACGTGTATATATCAAATATATATACGAGTATATACACATTATATATAAAAAAAATTTTTTGTTTTGAATAATTTTATTAATTAATTCTAAATATTATTTTTATATTATCAAAAAAATATCCTATTTTTAATATTCCGTTTTTTTTTTTTGTGTTTTTATTTTAGTTGTGGAAAAGTTATACTACCAGATGATTGTATTGAATTAGAAGGAGATTTAACGAAACCACATCCGTATTGTTGTGATGAATTTTTATGTAGTGATGAACATGGAAAAAAATTCATATATAATCCAAGTATACCACCATCATCAACAAATTCAAATAAAATAATAGATGAGAGAAATGATAATTATTTATAAAAAAAAATAAAAAACAAAAAACAAATATGTATAAATTAATAAAAAAAAACAAATAATATTATTAAATTTAATTAATTAATATATTATATATATTATAAATGGTATATATTATATATATATAAAAGTAAGTTAATGTATAAGGAAAAATAATTTAAAAATAGTTTTTAAAATATCGTTTTTAATTATAAATATGTATTAATTAATATTATAATGTTTTTTTTTTTTTATTTAATTAAAAAAGAGAGTGAAAATTAATAAAATTTGAGAAAAAAAAATGGGGAAAAAATAACAAATAATGTTTTTTTTTTTTCTAATTTGTTAAAAGTGTGCATTATTGTGAATGGTTATTTTTAGTATATCGTATCCTTATTTACGATATATATTAAATTTTAAAATTTTATTTTTAAGAAACTATTAATAGAATTTCTCTTTAAGGTAGAATTTCCGTTTTATATTATGCATGTGCATACATATACTTTATATTCAATGTTATATAATAAATCATAGATCTATTATATAGTGTATCAGATATATATATATATATATATATATAACAGATCGTGTGCATCATATATGAATTGCTCGATATTATAAATGTAAATCATTTATAATTGAAAGCAATTTTTTGTAGTAACTGACGTGTTAGTAATTTATTTGTCACATATCGTTTGTTTGCTACAACACTAATATATTACTCAAAATTTGCAAAGTTAGGTTAAAGTTTTAATACTATCGCAATAATATTTTTTTATAATGTGTTGTAAGCAGTAATTTTTTAAACTATAGAGAAAAATTGTGTTTTTGCACAAAACCGAAATTTTTTAAGTGCTTATTTTTGTATATAAATAACACAGAATTTGCATTTTTTGAGTTATGTCCGTATTGCAGGATGTGTTAACATTTAAATATTTAAGAAAAAATGGCAACAAATATTGAGATTTATGATGATTATTTGACAATGCCTTGAGAATCCATGATTAATGTCAATTATAGTCTGTTGCATTTTCGATTAGATTGCTTTGCCAATAAATTGCAAATGATATTTCGGAATGTAGAACGATTCTCTGTTGTATAAGACTTATAGGTTCTATCTCATAGACTGTTGTAGCATCAAAAAAATTTTAAAAAATTTTTAGAAAGAATTCAAAAAATTTTTTTTTTAATATTTTACATAATTTTTATATATTCATACTTGCACATACATATAAATAGTTATATATACTATTTAACACATATTCATATATACTAAGATTGTAATAAAAATTCCTTCTAATTTAGGTAAAACCAGGTATAACTATAAAATTATGAACGGCGAAAAAAAAAAAATTAATAGTCATCATTAATGAAAACAACAAAAACTATAAAGAAAACTATAAAAAAGTAATAAAATTTCTGATGTCAATGAACAATTTTTTTTTTTTTACTTCTTACGTACATACTTACGTTACATATACAATATCAAATCTTAAGCAAAGACTGAAATTATTTTAGATTCTAATTTGATTTTAAATCCGAAATTTCATTGAACTTATATTGATTATTTTTAAAAGTAATCGTTTTTTTTTTCTTTTGATTTTGTGATTTTATTTTTAATTTAAAAAAAAAAAATAAATTTTAGTATGACGTATGTATGTATATTGTACATTTACTGTCATTATATGCCTTACACACAATATAAGTATGTATATATATGTACGAGTATGTATACAAATCTAGTTTTCAACTACAAAAAATTGAGAGCAATGACTATACCTTTTTTGCGATTTTAATATTATTACTCGTATATGCATAATAGAGACCAGGTTTAAGGAAATACAAGTTCAAATGTATTCAATATACTGTACTGTACTGTAAACATATATATATATATATATATATATATTTATGCTTACAGTGCAGAACAGTAAATATGTATGTACTTTGAAGAATAACTAAATTTATTCAATTTTATGTAATATTGTAAATTTATTTGGAAATATTTCATATAATGTGCGAATGTGTTAAGTGATATGAAGAAAATTTTATTGAGCAAAATGAATAGTTAAGAGTGATTATTTAATTTGTATTACTATTATGTACCTATACAATTTTAGTTATAAAAACAAAATATACGATTCGAATATTAAGTTCAGTTTATTTTCTATAACAACAGTAGTGCTTAACACACTACTATTAATTAGACTAATATTGCATATAAATATGGAAGGATATAATTAGAATGTGATTTTTCCACTAAACTTGTGAGCTTAATTTTATCAAAGCAAATTATTATTATTATGTAATTAAATTATTATTATTATATCAAAGTGACATGCAACAGTGACTACGATAGGCTAGTCACCTATATCTAGTTACCTCTATTACGCAATGAAACTGGAGCTTATGGTCTTCCTAAGAGTTAAATTGGAGGGGGGGGGGAGAAACATGCAATAGCAATAATAATTAGTAATTATTATTATATGGGTACAATTCTATGCCTTTAAATAAAATATGAAAAAAATATGAATAGAACGTAGAATATGGAAATATTTCTACATGAAAAAATTCAAGAGGACAAGTGCACTACATTTAAAAAATTTAATCTTTAATTTTAAAGTAGAGAAAGGATAAATGAAGAAAAGATTATTGAAAATTAGAAAAATGAACAGTTCAACTTTATTATCATTACAAAAAACATTTCCAAAAAAACTTGTAAAAAATAGCTTAACGTATCTATGGACAATGGAGGTAACTCTCTCTAAATTTTGTAACGGTAAATGTATTTTATTAGAGAATAAAAATATATTTTAACTAATTTTCTTAACGGTGTATTGTGTATATTATGTAATTTCATTTCAATAACAAACATATTGTACTGGAAATTTGCTAGTTTGCGAACTATTGGTTTGAACGATTTTGTATGTATTCGAAAGAAGCAATCCTTATATATTAATTATACACATAAAATTTATGTTAAGACTATATTATTTTTTCATTGTGTGCTGTTTTCATTGATGACATGCAGCTATTTTACAAAGACAATAATTATGTATTACTGACCATAAATCCGTAACCCCTAAAGAATAATTAAATGAGCGCTATTAACTACACCAAAGAGATGTACTCGTACCCAATACTGCAACACGGGATTCTTTACATGGGAATCTGTGTGTTTAATTAAACACAATGATTTTGATTAAACACTGTGATTTTAATTAAACACAATTTTTTTCAAAAACATTTCTTCAAAACTATGTATGCCATGATATAATTTTAAATATAAAATGAATTATAATCTTAACAATAATATTAATTGATTCCATTTAAGTGAATTTTAGAAGAAAAAAAAAACAAAATTTGTGCTTTTATTAAAAGAATGAATAAAGGCACAAATTTTAATTAAAATTTAATTTTTATGAATTCATATTATTTTTTATATAATAATTATTGTATTATGGCATTATTCTATTGCTAATTAATTAGTATTAGAGGCTCACAACAGCTTCTATTCAATTAAATATGTAAAAATGGAAACATAATTATATTAAAAATAAAAATTCCATAAAAAAATTCAATTGGTTATAAAAGTTTAAACAAAAAAAAACACCTACTATTTAACCTTAATAACCTTTTATACAAAATGTTTTAATATTTATGCACGTACACGCATATACTCGTATACACAAAATTGTAAGCTATTGTTATAAAATTTCAATAATTTAATAATTACATTTAATTAAAGAAGAGTAAAAAATTTATAACAATAATGTATAGGTATTCCTATTTGTTGTATTGTGTTGAAGAATAATTAATAGACTCAAGAAAATTTTAGAAAATAAAAGCTTTAAAAATTTAAATTAAATTTTAATATAGACTTACCATGAATAGTAAGGTTTATGTTTCACGGTACCCATAAAATTTTGAATAGGTCATACAAGCAATCGGATTTTGAATAGGTTATTTACGTTATGTTGTTTTTAGGCTTACATTTATATCAGCCTAACTCATATCAGTCAACCCATCACATTTCATATGACAGTGAATTTGAACATGCAAAATATTTTTAAATTTTTGAAAATTTTGTCTTCAATTTCTGCTATTACCTTCAATTTTATGGAAAAATACACATTAAATAGTTCTTTAGTCAGGATCCTCTTGATATGAGTCCAATATTTCGTTACATTTTTGTTCAAACGTAAAAATCTTATTATACATTTTTGCTTAAGCGTCAAAATCCTGTAAGTAAATCATATTTGCACCTTTCAATGAAAATATCTCCAGCATTATTTTTCAATTCAATTTAAATTTTCCTGAATTTACATCCAAATTATAACACTAATCTTATAAGAAGTTTTTAATATCAATTCAAATGATGTTTTAGAATTCTTTGTGAAATTTCAAACAAAATTCTACATTTAAAACTTGACTCTAAAGCAGCTAACTTTTTTTACATTAATTGGGAGTCTACTTGAAATCAGACCACTTTCCACAAACGACTCACAAGAATATTTCGTTATACATAAAATAAAATAAAATAGAAATACAAAAATTCAAGCAAATTATGATGGAAGCTAAGTTTGAGACGTTTCTTCTTCAGATCTGGAATTACTTATGTATTCCGAAAAAAATTTTTCCTGATTAATTTATTTCAAATTATTCCTGTACTGTTCCTGTCGATGTATTATTATTCCAGTTTTGTGGACATGGTTAGTTAGGCCAATTCTTGTGTGTTCATAAAAAGCATTATTCTTGTCCCAATTCTTGTTACGTTTATTGTACACTATATGTATGTTTGTATATATACATATGTATGTAATTTTTAATTATAAATAAAATTTTAATTATTTTTTTTTTTATTTCAATTATTATTGACTTTATTTTTTAAAAGAAAAATAAATTTGATTAAATATGTAAATTTTGATTTCATGGAAAACACGATTAATCTTACACACATAGAGAGAGCTGAAAACAAAAATTTATTGAAGCCCTATAACATATTGATTGAAGAACTGAGTCAATTTTATTCCTTTGGAATAGGTCATGTTTGAGAACATACATACATATTTTTTTAAGCAACATCCATATATTTTATATACATAGGTATATTTTTGACTGTTTGGTCCAATAAATTCCAAAAAACTGATAAGAAATGTTTTTGTTTTGAAATGATTGTATAATCTGTCGATATTTTCATAATATAAAAGGAATAAAATTCGAAATTTATTTGTATATTAGCAAGATAACCCCAGTTATTAATAATAATCACGTAATTTTTTGTTTATTGTATTAATTCTATACATATATGTATATGTATATATATATATATATATAGATGACGCATTTTATATATGAAAATAAACATGACAACGTAGAGAACAAAGGGTGTTTTCAAATTAATTATAACTATAAAGTGCTTTATAATTTTAATAATGCAATAAAACAACTTCAAATATGACAAAAGCTGAGATGACAAACACGAAAGCATGTACTCTTATGTCTCCTTTACTAGATTTGAAATGATTTTACAATAAAATTTATTGCAAATTTTATAAAACAAGATGAAAACTTTAATTTTTTTTTTCTTTAATATATAAGTATTGGCAAATTTTAAATGATCCTTTATGTATAATTAATGATAAACAGCCTGATTAAGCAAATGATGCAAGTTTTCATATACTAAACAAATGTTGACAGCATAAAAATGATAAATTTCTAATATATTGGCAATATGTTCATCTGTAAACGCTGTTCTAACTTAGTAATAGATTGCAGTGTGTATGTTTAATAAGAACTGTTTAAATTGTTTAGAACTGTAGTAAGCAGCTTTTTCAGAAATGTGAATTTGTTCAGACATTTAAAACAGTACAAGCATTTCAGAAATTTCATGCCCGTCGCAAATTCTATAACTGTGATAGCTTAGATGTCAGACAAGATGGAGAATGATTTTTTTGACAAAATTTTTTAAACTTTTATCTCTATTTCCTTCAACTTGATTCAAGTTTATAATTTTTAAGAATTTTTCTCCGAAAATTTATTTTTTTTGAATTTTAATGTGTATAGGGACAAATAGAAAAATGACAACTCTAGAACTGCATTTTCAAATAGCTAATTTTAAAATTTATCAGTTAATGCAAGAAAGTTCTTATAGTTTTTTGTTAGAAATGCGTACGCATACTGAGTTTGCAGAAGAACCTAATGTTATGCTACGAGTACAAGTATATTATGTTTACAAAATATTGTGAGAAATTTTATAAATTTCAAAAATGTTCATATTATAAAATAACAAGTACAGTTATCAATTTTATTTCTCAAATATTTCCTATACTTACATGAATATTGGGCAATCATAAAATTTACTGCTTAAATTCAATTAATACATTTAATTGTTAAACACCCTGCATTTGAAATATAAATACAATTTCTTAAATTTAATTTGAACTCAATTTGATAAATCCTATAATTTGGCATTTTTCTAAATAAAATTCAAAAATTTTTCAATACTTAATTTTCGTAAATTGAATTGTCAAGTCAAAACAAAATTATAATTAAATTATATAAGTACTTTATAAGACCTACATATAATTAAACAACAAAATGAAGAAATTTTCATATTTAATAATTTTTGTTGCACTATTTTTGAACTCTTGTTCAAGTACAACTTTCCGGAATAATAATGCTTTTCATGAAGGTTTCAAAATATAAATGCTATTGTAAAACTATAAAATATTTTTATTATTTGAAGAAAAATTTTAGATTATCCTGATAAATGTTATCATAAAAGAACACAACATCTTTTTAGTCCAGGTGAAACTTATTTACCAATTGGATTTTGTGCAAGTATGAAATGTATTGGACCAGGAACATTTATAACAGAAAAGTATAATAAAATAAACATTAATTTTTTACATAAAATTTAAATTTAATAAATTTTGATTATGTATACATATAGTTGTGGAACATTAACGGTACCAGATTGTGAAAAATTAGATAAGGATTTAAGTAAACCATATCCGCAATGTTGTAGTAAATTTTTATGTAAATATCCAAATGGTACAGCATTTATAGAAGATTTACATACTGCTAAGGATTTTTATAGTAAAAGAAATTAAAATATGTATGTTTATAATGTGTGTATAAAAAGAATGTGATTATTATTATTAAATATAATATATATATATGTATGTGTACAACAATGTGTTTCTTTAAATATTATTGGTGTTTTATTCAAATATCGTCATAATTATATGCGATTATAAGAAATAAAATAAAATTACAATCACTGGTAACACTGAGCACATTGAGAATGGAAAAACTTAAGTATTTCCATCCTCGCAATCCAAACGCAATTAATTAAAACAAAAAATTTAAAATTTAATATTGCAATATAGTTATAAAATTCAAGTCAAAAATTAAATGATTAATTTTCTAATGAAAATAGAAACTTAAGAGCAATCATCAAATAAATCACCCTAAACTTATAATTATAACTTAATTTTAGAGTGAATTCATCTCATGCACTCATCCTAAGTGATATAATAAAATTTTGATTTAAAGGCTATTAATTTAATTAAAAATTTGAAAAGTCATAATGGCCATAATTAAATTGTGATTAGATATTTGATTGTGATTGGTTGACAAAAGTAGTTGGTACTAATTTTTCTTTAAAATTATGCCACTGTTAGTTGTATGTCTTTCCGTTCGTTCTACAACCAATAATAACCCCTCTTGAGGTGTTTCACCTCAATCCCCTCTCACCTTAACGCCCCTCAAAATTTGTAAAAATTGAATTTTCGGCATCTTAACCCACTTACTTAACCATCTAATTCGAAATTTATTTTAACGCTTCTTTCAACTTTTTTTTTGCCTCATCCTAATTATATGCAATAACTACTTTACAAACCATTGATTTGACCCAACTTTATTATATAGGTTTTGGGTAGCTATTGGAACAACTTATACAAATATTGCTAAATCTTATTGGAATATGTAGTCCTTTATTACTGCTCTTGTTGATAAAAAAAAATTTAATTATTGTAAACTTAAAAGTTTCCGAGTTATACAAATTTTTTTTCATAGTTGTATGGCAATTACTCGAATCACGGCTTCAATTCAATCCAATTTAAAATATAGCAACTCCTAGTAATTAATAAATCGTTAGTTAGACTAATTAAATGCATTTTTGAGCTATTGCTGTTTATGTTTAGAGAAATTACCTGAAAATCTAAATATTCCTATAGCGTATTCTTATCTTTTTAATCAGTAGCTCTTCTATTTTTGGATGGGAATATAAAAGGAGATAACCTTGCTTAAAAATTATTGATAATAATTAATTTCACTTTTACTTTTCTCTAGAAACTTTTAATCATTCTTAATTGTTTCATTTAGTCGGAATTCTAAAGTTCTTAAATAACAACTTTATATTCTATTTCATTATTATTAAAAACTAAAATAATGAATTTATATTTAAATTTATTATTTTTAATTTTGCATATAAATTTCTGCTTCTGTGCCATATCCCGAAACTTGAATGCAACACATGAAGGTAGTGGATCGTAATTATGATGCACCTTAGTATTTATATCAAGAACATTTATAATTTGAATGAAATTAAATTTCTTTTATGAGATCATCCTGGAAAATGTTATTGGGAAAAAGGAGAACATGTTTTCAGCCCAGGTGAAACATTTACACCAATTGGATATTGTGCAAAATTACTTTGCAAAGGACCTGGCTATATAGAAACACACACGTAAGACACTTTTTTTTTAATTATATTTCCTCTAGTATTTTAAGGACATACGCATATGTTCGAATTGTTTTCAAGATGCGGAGTAGCGATAATGTTTGAATGTGAAAAGTTACCTAAAGATAACACTCAACCGTATCCACATTGTTGTACACGATTCTTATGTAAATTTCCAAATGGTACAGAATACATTGCAACTCCACAGGCAAAAACAAAAACTATTATAAACACAGTCACTGAAGATTATGCAGAAAACCATTAAACAACCTAATTATGGATTGTTTCCATTGTTACAAGTTTGAATTAATTTTTGTATTTTTTAAAATGAAAGAAAGTAAGAAAATTTCTGTATGGTTACTAAATTTTAAAATTGCATTTTCTATTTTGTTGTTGCACTTTTGGTCAAAATTTTTTACCATCTATACGTTACAGCCCCTTTTAGTTCAATCATCGAAGTCAATTTTAAAACAACTACGTTTTCAGCCACTTTCAAATAGAATTATCGAAATTGAGTCAGTCAGCTCTTGGGTTGTCTTACTTTATGAAAAACTGAACACAAAACTAATTGTATTAATTTAAGTTTTTTAAATATATGCTATGTTTAGTTAGAATTTCAGAGATATGAAAATTGTGAGGAACAATGTTTGAGCAATTAATTGTAATGCGTGATCCTTTCAAGCGTTAAATTTTTATATTAAAAAAATAATTGTAAATTTATTCGTAGCTTTTTTTAATCTATAAATTTGAATGGTTCATTTGGATAATTTCATTCAAAAATAATACTGGAGGCGTCGTGATAAATTAATAATGTATACTAACTAATTAATATTTTTATTAGATGCAAAAGTAATTTGAAAGCATTACTCAAAGCACTGTCCTCTACAACATTGTCAAACGGAGAAACAAACCGTAACGATTACGCGTCAAGGGTTAAAATTATGACAAAATTTTCTTAAGTAACAAATTTTGTGAATTTGCAAAGTTTTCTTATTTGCAAAATGAGAGTGAAATCAAGAATTTTTTTTCATATTAATTAAAATTTTAATTCTGAAATATCGTGCCTCATACTTTCTCTTTCTTTTTGATTTGAGAGGAAAAATGGAAACGCAAATAAAATGAAGATTACCTGAACAGCTGTTTCCGAAAGACTTCTGTTAATCTTCTTTGGGTCAAAAAGATAACCCTATAAAAAATATTTTTCACGGCTAATTCTATTCTTATGATCTAATAAATACTAAACTTATTTTATTTAGTTACTTTAATTGTGACTTTTAGTTCAACAGCCAAGTTGAAAATTTATAAATTCGCAAATTTTTTTAGGTTTAATTTTGGCAAAATGAATTTATATTTAAATTTATTATTTTTGATTTTGCATATAAATTTCTGCTTCTGTGCCATATCCCGAAACTTGAATGCAACACATGAAGGTAGTGGATCGTAATTATGATGCACCTTAGTATTTATATCAAGAACATTTATAATTTGAATGAAATTAAATTTCTTTTATAAGATCATCCTGGAAAATGTTATTGGGAAAAAGGAGAACATGTTTTCAGCCCAGGTGAAACATTTACACCAATTGGATATTGTGCAAAATTACTTTGTAATGGACCAGGCTATATAGAAACACACACGTAAGACATTTTTTATTTTTTTAATTATATTTCCTCCAGTATCTTAAATAAATACACATTTACTTGAAAATATCATTTAATTGCCTTCAAGATGTGGGGTAGAGATGATGTTTGAATGTGAAAAGTTACCTAAAGATAACACACAACCATATCCACATTGTTGTACACGATTCTTATGTAAATTTCCAAATGGTACAGAATACATTACAACTCCACAGGCAAAAACAACAACTATTATAAACACAGTCACTGAAGATTATGCAGAAAACCATTAAACAACCTAATTATGGATTGTTTCCATTGTTACAAGTTTGAATTAATTTTTTGTATTTTTCAAAATGAAAGAAAATAAGAAAATTTCCGTATGGTTACTAAATTTTAAAATTGCATTTTGTTATTACGTTTTAAATGGTTTTTTAATTTCATGAATCAAAGTACATTTACGTAAGTATATTTATAAAGTTCATTTATAGCTCTTACTCTATTCTTCTTGGGCCGGAGCCCTTCTGCGGAATTGGACCACATACTATCCATTGGGAATTAAAGAAGGAATCAGAAAACGGTCGGAGCGCTGCAGAAGTCTTCCGGGGCTGCAGCAAGCCAAGGAGCTCCTGGGAGATTATGACCAGAAGCGATTTAAGAAAATTATAGAGATGGGCAAGAATCAGGTGAGAATCCTCACCGGCATTTTGACGGGTCACTGCAGGCTTTCGATAGATACTTGCAGATTCTGTGGGGAGGATAGGAAGACCTCGGTGCACTTTCTGTGGGAGTAAGATGCTCTTGATCATAGAAGGGGAGAGGTGCTGGGGGGCTTTGCTCTAACGGCGGCGAAGTTACGGTCTTCCGGTCCTCACAAGTAGCTTGAGTTCATTGGGAGGGTGGGTCTCGAGCGTGTGTTGTGGGGCATGCCCCGTACTCGTACGTGGTCGCGGTGCACTGTTGCCTTTCTTTTTGATTTGAGAGACGTAAATTTTAGCTATAAAGCAATGGAATTGCAAATAAAATAATGATTACCTGAACGGCTGTTTTCAAAAGAGTTCTGTTAATTTTCTGAGGGTCAAAAAGATAACCCTACCATAAACTGATTCTAAAAGCTAATTTTATTCTTATGATCTAATAAATACTAAACTTATTTCATTTAGTTACTTTAATTGCGGCTTTTAGTTGAACAGCCAAATCGAAAATTTATAAAATCGCAAATTTTTTTGGGTTTAATTTTGGAAAAATGAATTTATATTTAAATTTATTATTATTAGTAGCTTCTATTCATATTTGTTTATTATCTATAATCCATAATAGAAACGCAATCCACGAGGGTAAAATATTATTATATTTTATTTCATCCTGAAAAACCTAAATAATTCAGATCATCCTGGAAAATGCTATTCGAAAGTGGGACAACATGCTTTTAGCCCAGGTGAAACATATACACCAATTGGACGATGTGCAAAATTAACTTGTATTGAACCGGGTCATTATAGTGCACAAACGTAAGAAATGTAAAAATCAACAATGTTCTGGTATTTAAATTATTTGACAATAATATTTATTTTTAAGATGCGGAGCAACAATAAAGCGAGGATGTGAAAGATTGCCTGCTGATGAAACTCAACCATATCCAGATTGTTGTAGAAAATTCTTGTGCAAATATCCAAATGGAACGGAATATATAACAGCTCCAAAAGAAAAAACAAGAACTATTATAAATACATTCGCAGAAGATTAAGTATACATAAAATAATTGTAGAAGCAACCGCAAATTCTTTAACGTCAAAATTTTGATTTTAGTCTGCAAACTGTCTGAAACTAAAACTTTTACGGACAGAAATGTAGTAAACTTTTTACCCGTAATTGACTTTGAATTTTGATCATCCGTAAACGTCAAAAAAAAAATTTTTTTTAGATTTAAAATAATTTTATACTTACATATTAAAAATTAATAAAAAAAGTATTTTTTATATTATTTTTAACGTAATGATAGTCACTCAATACATCAAATTTATTTACTGAATTACTACGTCAGACTGTCTGCATGTAAAAAAAAAAAACTACAATTTTGACGCTTAATTGACTTTTTTTAAACGTTTAAGAATTTAAACTTTGACTGAGAGTAAAAACGTAGTAGAGTATCCGTAAACTCAGACAACTCAGATTTTGTAAAATTTGACGTTTAAGAATTTACCACAACCGTATTCTTAAATTAAATTTCATAATGTTTTTTCAGTTAAGTTCATAACATTCCATTTTATGGACAATGGGAGTGCAAAATGGATTGCAAACCTTGTGTCAATTTTTGTATTCTAACATAGAAATAAATACAAAATTAAAAATAGATTGCATTTCTTATTATTTTCAAATCGGACAATAAAATATTTGACACAATTTTTAATTTTTAATAATAACTAGAGTGTAGACAGAGAATTTTGCTGATACGAGTATTAAAATGTTCGTCCTTTTATTGTTGTCTGGAAGCTATGCTTGACCTTGGAATTTCTTTTTTAATTTCGGTTCTAGTTAAATTTTATTAAATCAATTGTAATTCCCTCTTCACATTCCGAAATCAAAGCAAATATAAATGCTTCTTAATCTTACCATTTTTTCTTTATTTAAATAGCAATTAATTAATTGCGATTGTAAAATTTCATTTGGTTTATTTTTTGTACCAATATTCCGAATATTTACCGCGGCGTTTTTGTTTTGAAATTTTACAGATATTTAGAAATTAATTTTCTTCATTTGTCACTTTGATAATGATTCAAATTATTTATTAGATTGAACTTTAAGATTAATAAAATACCAAAACAAAATTAATATTTAATTGTGCATCTTATGTTACCACTTTTCTTGTTTTTAATTCTAATTTTTTTTTTTGTAAATTATTTTTTTAATATTATTTATTGCTGATATCATTTTATAAACATGTTTCATCTGAAAGAGTTTACCTTATGTAAGTTATTGCAATCATGACTTTTCCAGTGTCGTGCAAATATTTTAATATTTTTTTCATTTCGAATGCAATCTGTATTTTATATTAAGTTATATAATTTTTATGTGCACGTTCATATTATATGTATCAACAGTCTCACGTTTATTATTAGATAATTTAGATTCACTCTTGATTCATGTATTATTCAATTCGTTAAAAATTCATCTATTATTTCATGCCAGTTAATAAATAAACTAGTTGTACCTATATAAGTAACATTCACATTAAGTGACATCCAAATCAATTCACAAATTCTATTTGAATAACCCTTTACTTTCCTTTTTCTAATTTCTATACTGATCCTGTAGTTGTTTCGTTTGAAAAGTACATTAATTCGCAATTTTATAGAGTCATAGTCTATGAATGGACAAAAATATTTTGAAAAGACTTAAATGTGTCGAATTAAATTTTTCAGTACGTACGTACATGATTGAATTCAAGCAACTAAACCTTTGCTATATGAGACGATACTACTGTTCCAAATCCTAAATGCAACTGTAAATAATTTTATTTAAATTATTGCAATTAAATTATGTACTTTCATCGTCTGCATTCTATTAATATTAAATCTTTCTCTTAAAGATATCATATCGTTCATTTGCTGCAACATTGACGTAACTCAAAAAATACAATTTCTGAGTTATACATAAAGAAATAAGCGCTTGAAAAAGTTCTTTTTTTGTGAAGGAACACCGTTTCTCTAGCTTTACTATAACTCAAAATTTTTTCTTATAATAAAATATAAAATAATGCTATAACGACATAAATATATTTACTTCAAAATTTTAAAGTTGGTTTTTTTTTTAAATTTGCAATTTGGAAATCAATACTAGCAATATTAATAACATAGAATCAGCAATTCAAATTTCATATTGTATAATTTGTGCGTCAGTTTTATCTAAAGAGATGAGCAAAATTTATTGTTTACCCTATGACTCTAAGATATAAAGATGAAATATTAGTTCAATTACATTCCATTATATTAATGTATTAGATGACGACTAAATACATTTAGGAATCCGCAAATCACAATTACGTAGATTTATTTAAATAACTTAAAAATATTTTTTATGCAAACATTATACATAATTGTCAAAAATTTCTTATGATATCTTAAGGAAGTCATTAGAGGTCATATTTCATATGCAAATACAATAATTACAAACAGTCACTTGAAATATTCTGGTATAAAATCAATTAAAATATCATATATCTTAACTAATTAAGTTTAAAATCAAACAATTATTATTGAAATAATAATTAAAAATACTTAAATTTTTCAAAATTATCATAATTTTATATACAGTACAAATATATGTTAATTTACCTAAATAATATTAAAATAATAAATCATAATATTTATGTAAATTAATTATCGAATTAATATTAGATTAAATTAATATTCATTGCACGATTAAGCACATGCGATATGTTTTTTTTTTTTTTATATTTTTGCTTATGATTTTTTAAAATATTTAAATTTTTTAATAGTTTTTTTTATAATATTTTTGTTTTGTTTTTTCTTTACTTTGTTTGCTTATTTTTTCCTCTTAAATATCCGTACCCTAGACCTCTTATTTATTGTTTTTTTTTTTTTCTCTTTCTCTGAGTCTTAAAACTCTTAGATAATTTAAAGATTTAATTATATCATTTCCAAAAATATTAAAACGTAAAAGAAAAAAGTAAAATACCAGTAAAAAAAAAAATGCGATTGATATTTTTTTTTTTATTAAATATTTTGTAGACTATTTCTTTAATATATTTATAATAAAATAAAAAATAAAAAAAAAAAACCTGTTAAATAAATCAGAATTCTTTAACTAATAATCGATTAGAATTCAATCTAATTCTTTAGAAAAAAATCATTAAAAAACGCAAATTTTAGGATGGAGTAAAAAAAAAATTTATAGAAAAAAAATTAAAATAAAACCTGTTTATTAAATAAATTATAAAATATTTAAGAATTAATGCTAATTTCTTAAAACTTTTTAATAATTATATTAATAAAATTCTTATAGAATTTAAGAAGATAACAATATTAAATTTAGAACAAAGCAAAGAAATAAGAAAAAGATAACAATTAAAATAGCTACCACCAAGAAAGAATTAACTAGTAGAACTTGTAAATAAATTTTATGCTAATTATTTATTATATGTACACACTTCAATAAGAAATCTTTATTCGACATTGAAAAAATCTAAATTTGAATTTTTTTAACTAGTAAAACAAATTCTTAAAAATTTTTTTAGTTATAATTTTGAAGTCAAACTATAGAGAAGTGCTCCCACAATATAATCATTCCATATTATTTTAATTTAAATATAAAAAGAAAACAATTTTCCCTCTATTTTTTTTTTAAATATTTTACTGCTAATTTTTAAATTTACAAAATGTTCAAATTAATTTCATTATTTGTTTTATTAAATATCATAAATTATTGTATTTCTGAAGTAGTATTTGTTGATAATAAAGCAACTCATCCAGGTAGTATAAAGTTCTATAAATTATAATATATTAAAAGTTTTTTTAAATAAAATATTAAAAATAAGTTCTAAATATTAAAATTATTTATTAATATTTTAATATTCTACTAAAAATGATTTAGATCATCCGGATTTTTGTTATTATAAAGCTGATGGTCATGTATTTGGTGTAGGACAATTTTATAGACCATTTGGTAAAGATGGTGGTTGTTATGCATATGAATGTCAAGAACCAGGTGTTATTGGAGTTCATAAGTAAGTAAAATTATCTTTTAAGAACTTTAAAAAAAAATATTAATGTTAACAATAATTTAAATTAGTAAAAAAAAATGTTTCTAAAATATCAATACAAGATTTTTAACTTATGCATTTAATTATGTAACTTATATATTAATTTAATTTATATGCCATATATGTGCTTCACAAAAAATCAATAGTGTTAAGAGAATAGAAAAGTTGCTGGTACATTTTTTTTTGTTTTAAAATAAATTAACACACTAACTATAATATAATTCAATTCTTTTTTATTTTAATTTTAGATGTGATACAATCCAACTTGCTGAATATGGATGCAAGCGTTTAAGAAAAGGTAATTTTATTATATACTAAAATTTAACTTAAATTCTTTTTCTAAAATTTATTAAAAAAACAAACAAAATTTTTTATTATAGATAAACTTTCTCCTCATCCACATTGTTGTGATCGTTATTTGTGTTCAATTAATGGCGAAGAATCAATTATTAATGCATCTGTAAGATCTGATTTGGAAAGACTAGGTATTAAAGCATAGATTTATTGACAAAAAAAAAAAACACTTGAATTATTCAAATAAAAAATAAGAAAAAGCATAAAATGTACAAAAATAGTTTTTATTTTGACTCATTTCTCTTTTTAAATAAAAATAAAAAATATGTTTTTTAATTAGTGCCATAGTTTTTTTTTTTTTATTTTATACAAAAAATAATTACTACTTAAGTAAAAATACATATTTACTTTTAATCGCAATTTTCATACTGATGTTGAATTAATTTTTAAAATTTCATACATAATTGATAAAATTTTATTATCGTTTTACAAGATTTTTATTTTTTATTTCAATTATGAAATTTAAATACAATTTGTTTGTTATAATAAAGAATTAAGATTACTTTCTAAAATACTGTATTTTTTCACTAATTTTTTATTATAAGGCCTGGATTTGCAAACAAAAAAATTTTTTTTTAGATAGAAAGAAGATAGAAATGCTTTAGATAACATCCAAAAGTTAGCTCAAGAAAAAAATGTATTTATTCTCCTATTGCAATCAAAATAATAAATTTCAATATACCAAAAATTAAAGTCTCAAATCTCATTTAATCTACCTATATAGTTATATAATTTTTTATATATAAGGACATTTTTCAATTACGTGCATTAACTCTATATTTTTTAAGTCAATTTTTAATTTATTTAATGTAGAACTTAATTTTATATTAAATATGAATCTGTTTATAGCAGAATCATACATACATATGTATAAGTTAGAAAATAATATTCACTACTAAGTGTCGTAAAACTTAAAATTAACATAAGAAATAAATTTAATTACAGATAAAATTAATAAATTTTGAATGTGAACAAACTATTTTTTAATATTATGTATGAAAATGGCAGACGAAATAGCTTAATACTTACAAATTAATTCCAATTCGGTTTTTTTTGAAAGGATTTAAATAGAAGGATTTCTTATTTATCTTGTTTTATGCTAGTTATCTCTGAGAGTTATAACAATTTTGATTTATTTTATTGTTGTAAGACATATGCGGCATATCGTAGGAATTTGAAGATGTTGATATTGTTGTATTGTTAATATTATTATGATTTTCATAATTTGAAAAATTTGTTTGCACACATTCCAGACAAGATAATTTGGTACGTATAATACAATTTTGCAATTCTTGTTGTAGTAAGATTGCTTGACGTTGTGGCAATTGACGAAGTTCTGCTGCAACATATTTTCCAAATTGATCGAATGGTTTTTCTTGATTACTGTTTTCAATTATTCTGGGAAAATTATTTGGTTGATCAGACATTTCTGGTGTTGAATGCGTTTTTTGATAAGATCTGGGTGTTAGTTGTAAAGAAATATCTGTTTCCTGTATAGTGCGAGGCATTAGTTTAACATCTTCAATTGAAATTTGGTGGTCATATTCCCCAATTCTAGAATCCTCTTCCTCATAACTACTTTTTGCTTCACTTATGCTGCCGGAATCCTTCAAAATTAGTTGTAAGAAAATTATTTTTTTTTTTTTTTTGTATTATCAATTATCTATTGGTAGCAGTATAGATGCTAACCAATTTTTTATGGTCAGAGCTTGGGCAGGGATGATAAGAAAGATTGTAATAAAATGAGTGAAAAACTTAACAAACATCTGCTATCAACAAGACACGACGCCTACCATCAAATAAAATTATATAAAAGTATCATCACGGCACCAATAAAACTACATAAAATTTTGAAGATTGATTATATCGTGAAATTTTGCAACATTTTGCCACTAAGAAGCAATGACACAACCCTACCAGATTATTTTGTGGGGTTACTTACATTTGGTTTTGACAAATATGCAGACGCACATGCATAAAGCAATTCAATTGAATTCCCTACTGCAAGTGCAGATTGGGAAGCTTCGAAGTGATGTATTCTAAACTCAAATGGATTAAACATATACGCATATTTGAAACTAGAATAAAAATTTTTCATATTGAATAAAATTTTAAATTCCATTAAAATCTTTGTGTAAACATGTATCTATTGAAAGAACGTATGTGTTTGAATTTTTTTTTGTCATATGAACACTCATATGTTCAAACAAGCTAATGAAGATAGCTTGTTTAAACACAAGTCCATTTTTCTTATTGATATAGATGTATATGGCTTCATATTTCAATTTTGAGTTGTACAACATTATTATATTGAATATTCTAATATGAAAGCATTTCCATACATAGATATCTGACTACCTTCTTATATCGTGTTTTACTTTAACACCACATAATGATATATTATATAATATAACTTACATTTGAACCAAATTTACTTTTAAATTTTTTGCACCCTTTCATTAAGAGCTTGTTTATCCTCTCGTATAAAGGCCAGTTAGAACCTGCTCCAGAAGCAATTAATTTCCTTTCTTGCCTACAAAAATATCGAGATGAAGATTAGGGTGAGTCGTCAAACCATTTAATAATGAAATTTTTACCTGTATCTTTGTGTCAAATTATGTATTTTTACTTGTATATCCTTTTGTGTTACATCTGTAATACCAAATTGCGAATTAACACTAGCAGCCATATCACCATAAATATGTCCATTTTTTTTATGTTTTTGCAAATCTTTAATGTTATTATCCCACATATCTAAAACAAAACCTTCCATACTTCTGTTCCAAATTATACGAGCTTTCCCCATTCTTATCAATTTTTTTTATTTAATTTAATATAAATTATGCTATGTTCTTCGGTGTTTCTGAATTCTACTTACAATGAATTTATTTCTAAATTACAAATTACAATACAACATCAATGCATCAACAAACTAAAACTGATAAATTTGTCATAGAAGCGCTTTCAAAATAGAAATGTCAAAACTCTCTTCGCTTTTTTACCCTTCATGCAATATTTTGAATTAATTCCGTTGATGGTTCATTTATTCATCGCTTCAAACTGAGCGAATTTTTTGTTTTACTTTTTGACAAGCACAGCATGTATATAGTACTATAGTAGTATACGAATATAATGAATTATGTATGTAGTACTATAGTAGTATAGCAGATAAACCAATAACAAAATTGGCTCTTAAAAGAAACCTCTGCTTTAAGGCTGAATTTAATGCAACTTTTAAGAGACAGAAAAGAAATTGCGCTAAAAGTTAAGAGAATGTCGATATCAAGATTCATCAATTTGAACATACTTTTTGTTTGTAAAGTAGTTTTTCGTTAAAAAGAATGGTAAAACTAAAAAAAAAAGTGTTATTATGGGAATACAGAATAAATAGTTCATGATTTCATTAATATAAGTTGATTTTTCTTCCAACTTACGAAAAAGTACACGTAAATGTTACGATATGTAAATAAACCAGATGTCGCTTTTGTCGATTAAAATAAATACTATCAATCAACTGAACTTCTTTTATGTTTGGCAGTACTGGCTTTCTGAGAGTTTGACAATTGTTTTGTATTTTGTTTTTTTTAATTCTGTTTATTTCGTCTATGCATTTTACTTTGATGCTCAAAACCGCTAAATTAGAGGCTGTGAAATACAGGAAGTTTCGATATTATTGTTAATAGTTGTATTTATAATATATACAACATATATTTGCATACAAGAGAAGTTAAACTCTTCTAATATGTTTTCAAATAATTTTTTGAGCCAGGAAAATATAGTAACTTTATTATCAACAATAGATGTGGGTTACAAAGAACCATCAGATCCATTTTTTGAAAAATGCGACAAATTGAAAAGCCAGTTTAAAAAATTAGGTGTGATCACTTTAGTAGAAGAAAGTGATCTTCATTCTAAGCAAGTATATTTGTTTTTTTTTTTGTTTAATTATTCATTTAATTTCAATTTAAACAGTTTTTCTTTTTTAAAGGCTTCCTGTATCTTGTAATATTCCTGGATGTAATCAAATGTTTGACACAATTTTTGAATTTGAAACTCATTACAATTCTTTACATAGATATTTGTGTTCTTTTTGTAAGAAAAATCTTCCAAGTGCACATTTATTAGGTAAATATTACTGGTTACATATACATATATATAAACGTATCATCATAAATTACAGATCTAATTAATTCACACTAATTTTAGATTTACATGTTTCTGAAAGTCATGACTCGTTTTTCGCTGCTCAAGCAGAGAAAAAGGCGATGTTTTCTTGTTTTATAGCAGAATGTTCTTACAAAAGGTTCCTACGAGTAGAATTTATGTTTGATTTTAAAATACAATATTTTTGTTTACATTTTAGTTTAAATGCTGACGAAAGAAAAGATCACTGTATACGAGATCATAAATTTCCATCGAATTTTAGATTTGAAACTTCTTCAACTTCAAATATAAAATTAGAAAAATGTCAGGAAAAAATCGATGACACGGGTGCAATGGATACTTCAAACGAAAAAGCTTCAGAAGCTATAAACAAACTTGAACCGAGTAATCTAAATTTTTTTTCTTTCGGACATCAAAGAATTAAAACTTTTGATAGATCGAAAAAAGGAAAAGCGAAGAACAATAAAAAGAAACTGAACAGTGAGGTAGGAGTAAGCCCTTTAGAAGATGAAGAGATGGTTACAGATTTGTTAGATAGTTTACCAAACAAAAATTGTTAATAAATTGCATAAAATTAAATATGTGAAGAGTAAATTAATATAAATTGATTTGTTTTCTATTAGAAAATGGGTTAAAACTTTCTTAGAAAAAAATAGAATATATGTAATACTAAAATAAGAAATTTATGGTATCAGTGGTATTTAATTTAAATGGAAATTCCTTAAATTTATAAATTAGATATTATATGCTAGTTTTTCTGTGGACAGACAAATCTACGATGTATTTAATATATAACAACTTCCTTATCTGATTCTTTTTGGTCTTCCAGCTTTCTGATTTTGATAAACTTCATTTTAATATCAAAAATTCAATCAACTATAAATTTCATAAAAGTATTTATTGACATGATTCGTTTTCTACATATAATCCATTTATTTCTTTCATTTTATTATAAAAGTTTTCTATGCCAATACTTTCAATTTATTTTCTTCGCCTTATCACTTATATATTATTTTCATAATTCTCAATTTTATTTTTAATTTGTATACAAGTTTTTAAATTCTATTAATTATAGTTTTTTGTGTGCTACAAAAATTTGGCATTTTCATTTGTTTTATGTTATAGTTTCTATTAAAAATAATGATAATTTATGCATATAATTTTTAAAAATAAATATATAACTGTAAAAAAATAACAAAATTCTTTTATAAATTTAAAAATATGTAGTAGAAAATGGACGTAAATTGAATAAATTAAACTAAGAATAAATCAAAGGATCCAAAAATTGATATTTAAGTAAGGTAATCACCACTGATATCGTGCATTTTATTTATTTTTCTTTATGCATTTCTTCAGATATTTTTGTGAAAAATTCAATCAAATCAAAATTAGAGTTAGAATATCAGTATTACAATCAAAATTTAATTGATAATATGATGTTTGTGTATAATAAAAAAAATAAATTGTTCAAAGTTAATCTGAAGAAAAATAAATTATAGACACTTAAATACATATTTGGATTATTGTTTTTAAAATTCTATTTAATTTCCAAGAAAAAAAATTTTTGGGAAAAAGCATTAATTTTATTTCTTACCCTCGAAAGAGATTTTGTGATGAGGATAAAAAACTTATAAAAATAAAATGTTTAATCTTTAAATTCAATATTTCCATAAAATATATATATATGCTTTTCCTTATTGATATTAAAATGTAATAAAAAAATTATGCTTCGCATTATTAATAAACAAAAAAAATTAAATGTTCATTTCTCATTATCAACAGAAGTTACAAATTTCGATATTAGATAAAAATGGTTTACCTGAACTTTGTCAACTAATCATAATTAAATTTTGTCTTTTTTTGGCAAAAAGTTTTATAAATTCAATTTCATTTCTATACTTAAATTCAAAATCAAACAATAAATTAATATTATATTATGTAAGTATATAAAAAAAATGTATAATTTAAAATTTCATAAAAAAATTTTAAAAATAAAAAAAAATTAATTTTTACATTTCTATTTAAAGCTTATCTATACTGATGTCTTGGTATAATGTTCTTTCTACCCAATATTTTCATTAATTGTTTTGACATGTAATATGGTTTTTCTTCTGAACCATCGTTTCTCTCGCAATCCTCCACTAAAATAGTTATATATGTATAAATAAATTTAATATAATTTGATTGATTAAATACAATTATATTAATTCATATAATTACTTATTTAATAACTTACAGAAACATAAAAATAATGTATCAACAGCCATTGAATAAACTCCAAAGAATATACTGGTAATTAAATATGTTGCAATAACAACAATTGCAGTTGGAACACCACTATAATATAATTTATCTGTGCCCTCATAATAATTTTCAACATAAAAATACGTTCCAGCTCCAGCTCCAATTGTTAATAATAATTTTGATAAAAAGAATAAGAAGTCTGTCACTTTATCCAAAGTAACAACACGCAAAAAATTTCTCATTAATAAATTAAAAGCATCTTTAGCACTTGAACAGAAATTTTTACCATGTATAGCACACATAATATATGCATTACGATTTAAAAATCTTAAAAACTGTTCTAAACAATAGAAAAAGCATTTCATGCAGCATAAAATTGCTCTTGTAAATGCATTGTCATATTTTTTTAATTTTGTTTCAATATATTCCAATACTAAACGTATAAGACGACAAATTGTTAATATTAATGATCCAAATGCTAGTGTTCCCAAATGATATCTTACTGTACGACAAAATGCTTTAGTTGTTGTAAAATACGGGACATCTGATTTATGAAAAGTCCAATACCAAGTAGCAAATGTTGCTGCTAACACCATTTCACCAAGAGCCGATATAAAAAATTCCAACCAAAAGAATCCGATTACATTATAAATCTAAAATATATGAAATATAACTTAATTTTTTTTCAAACAATATTATTATTTAAATATAATTTATTTACATGAAAATATGTAACTAATGTAGGACTTTGTATTCTTTCAAAATAACAACCAGCTTCTGTACACGGTAAAGAAGTTTCTCCTCGGAAGAAATTGAATGAGCTTGTTGAACCAGCTGTCTCTGAGCAATACATATTAAAATCTTTTGGATTACATAAACCACCTTTCTTATAATTAACAGCTGGCCCCTTGCATAAACATTTATTATCTAATATTCCAGCTACACGGAATGTTGGTTCACCAATTGATGCTAAATATAAACCGACTGCAATAGCAAAACCTAATGTTAGAATTTGTAAGCACCATGGAAGAATTGGGAAGAAAACTGACGAAATTATGCTACCAACTGCCCTAAAAAATTATTATTTTTGTAAATACATACATAATATTTTTTTTTAATTTTATAAAATTATATTTGTATGACGAATACTTACTTGCTACCTTCTTTTACTAAAGCAATAGCAATAACAATTCTTTTTCTTAAAAATATCACAAGTAATAGAATTATTAAAAATACAACAGATGTTGCAATTGATAGATAAAGCCATGTTGATTCTTTTTCAAAAATTGTTTGAACCTGACCACGTATATTATATGCTGTTCGTATAACACCTGGATTTTCACGCCAATATAAATATTCACTAACACAAAAATATATTCCTAAAAATAATATTTAAATTATATATTTTAATAATTGTATAATATATAATATTTAAAATAGAACTACCAAATGCTAAAGCTGCTAATGCACCAATTATTGAAAACCATAATACCGGTGCTGCAATCCATCTCATTAATGCGATAAAAATTAAAGAGACAATCATTGTTATTATTAAGGCTCCAAGTACTGTTGGCCATGATTCAACAATATCTTCAACAACTTTTTGGCCAAACTGTTTTAGAAATGTTTTTTTTTAAATTACACAAAAAAAAAGAAGTATAAGTAAAATTCTTTTAAGAAAAATAATAAATTTTTTAAATTAATTTCATTTTTTTCTGTCATTTTTGAAATTTGATAATACAATTTTCAATACATAGTTATTATATTTATTATAAATTAAATTTTATTTGACATTTTGGAAATTTGAATATTTTGAATAATTTTACAAGGAATAAATTTAAACAACTGAAATTTAAATAAGAGAAAAAGAGACAAAATTTTGTATATAAAAGTAAAATTCTAATTAGTAACTTGATGTTGTTTATTATATAAAATTATTTATTTTTAAATATTTTTTATTTATTTCATTATTATATTCTTTAAATTAATTCAAAATGCTGATATTGATATAATTCATTCCGTTCATGTAAAAATATAGTATAATAGTTTTACCTCCGTACCTATGTATATCAATTTTATTTAATTATTAAGTTATTATTGTTAAAATGCACAAAATAATTTATAAAAATATTATAATAATTCAATGTATAATTTTTAAAATTAAAGTGTATAATAGAAAAAGAGCCAAATACCCCATATAAGTGTGCAAACAAAAGTCTGTTTGGAAGAGAAAATTAAATTTTAATAATATTTTCCTTTTAATTTTAAATCGATTTTGGAAATTATGTAGAATTATTTTGTTTAACTAAAAATGTTCGTTTAAAAGCTATTAAATATACAAAATAATTTAAAATATAATTGTTCTCATTAAACGTATTATATAAAATATTTTAATTTAATTTACAAAAAACAAATCCAATTTTTTAAATGTAAAATTTTCAAAAATCAATAGAATATTAATTAGTTATTTAATTTTAATAATATAATATAAAATAATTTTAATTATACACATATATTTATTTAATTATTAAAATTATTATTTATCTATCTTAATTATATTATTTTATTTTTTAAAAACCTTACCAATTCAATATCAATTGAAACATGTAATTTTTCTATGATTGCATTTAAAGTTTCTATTGTCGTTTGTAAATAACCCTGACTAATAATATATTGTAAGCCATCATTATCGGCTGGTATACATCGATTATAAACTTTATTAATATAAAATGTAATAAATAATATTAAATAAAAAGTAATAACAACAATAACTATAATAAAATTATAATAAATAATCAAAAATAATGATCAAAATATTGAAATAAAAAAATAAATTTTAATATATGTATAACAGTTATAATTCATATTGATAAAATTTATATTATTGATGAATAATATATAACTATTATGAAAATTTATTTTTAATGCTAAGTATTAATTTTATGTAACTATTATTGTAGACAATTTGATATAAAAAAATTTTTTATAATTTCCATTTTTTTTTTTATATATAAATTCTAATATTGTTATAATAAAACATATATATAGATTGTACGAGACACAAAAATGATTAAAAACATTTTAAATTATATACTGTATTTGTTATACACAAATATTATTAACAAAAATATTATGTTATACACATAATTTAAAGTTAAATTAAACTACGGATATTAGTAAACCTTTCCCATAATTTCATTAGTATTAAAGTATTACCAAATTATTTAGGTAAATTTATCTATGGTTTTATATAGGTACAGATAAATAATTGTTTATTGACGATTATGAAAATTGAGCTTATGACTATAAAATGAGAAAATTTCTGTTGTTTTTGAATGTACACAGGGGATTTATTAAAAATTCAAATGTATGTGAATGTTATATTAATTTAAAATTTTATCCCACATATTTAATTCCAATTTTATAAAACCAATTTATTTACAACAATGTATGGAATTAAATTACCTGTTTAATTTTTAAAGAAATCATAAGATTTTTAACCAAAATCATGTTACAGAGCGTGGGCGTCTGTAGTTCATAATTGTAATTTTTGTTAACACATTTTTTTTTCGAAATTTATTTTTTTGAAGAATCTTTAAGAAATTACAAATAAATGAAGAATATTTATGTACTATAAAAAAAGTTCATTCATTATTGCAAAAAGCTGACATATCCCATAAATTTGGAATATGTACAATAATTTTAATATTATCATTAAAATATCTGTAATTTGTTGGCCAAATACATTTTATAAAATTTCTTTAAATTGAAAATTAAAATTTAAAATACCAAACTTTTAAGAAATTTTTATATTTTCTATTACAAGTTGTAGAGTTTTAAATAAACTTTTAAAATACATACGGACATACATACATCATATATACGTATGTATGTTCATTTGTTCAAAATTAAAATACGGTGATGTATTTTAAGATTTCAATGTGAGTACATGTTTTTCCTTCTGTTTGTCATATGAATTCTATTTTCAATCATAAAAATGTAGATATGACTTTTATTTTAGCCGTCTTAGACCTACTTTATTCATTTACTTATTTCTTTAAATTTATCATAGCGTATATTTCATTTCAGTTGACTCTTTTTTAGTTAAGAATAAAATATAATATTGTACCGACATCTTGTATATTTTCTTGCATTTATATATATATATACTTACATCTTGTGGATTTTCTCCAGTATAAAAATGTGCAACAAAATTTCCAACAAATTTAGCTAAATATGTATCAGTTTCTTTAACTTTTTGCATAATAATTTCATCATTTAAAATACGTCGAACTGGACATGTTGGTTCATTAACTGGCTTTTGTTGTTCATTCTTTTTTTGATCATATACTTCTAAACCAGCCGGAAATATTGTTGATGATTTTAGTTTTTCTGTTGTATTTTGTATTGATGATATTGTTATATCATCTATTATTGGTGTTATCGTTGTTGTTGTTGTTCTTGTTGTTATAATGTTTTGTATAGATGATGATTGATGTGTTTTATAATGTGTATTATATTCAATTGGTTCTTCAATAAAATTTAATGTTTTTATTTGTGATGAAATCAAATTTTTTATTATATTATCATCATTATCATTATCATTGTTATCATAATTATTAAAATAATATGAATTTGAATGATTTTTGTTAATAATTGTATTATTATATCTGTCATCAATTTGACGTTTATATCGACTATTATACATATAATTATTATTTAATAAATTTGATGGAATTATTGGGCATATATCCGATGAAAAATCCCAAACGCAACGATTTAAAACTTAAATTATAATAATTTAATGTAATAAAAAAAGTAAAATATGTTAAAATTATGCTGCAAATTTTTAATGATAGCATTATAAATATGTATTTAGTTACCAAAATGTTAATTTAATAAATAATTCTATAAAATATATTGGAAAGTGCGATGTTATTAAGTTTCGATTATTTCATATAGCCTAGAATTTAAAATATCTAAATACGAAAAGAATTATCGACTTAAAACACTATATTTGATTGTTGACACATTTCTATTTTCTAACTAATTACGCATAAGTAATTATTATGTGTATTGAAAAAAATATTTTAGCCCCATTAGTTCTTACATCATTTGTAAAAAAAAATAAAAAAAATGTCATATTTTTGAAGATATTTAAAAGAGCACAAAAAAAAACTTAAAAAATAAAATACAACTAAATTTAAATTGAAGGTAAATACGTACGTATGTATACAATGCCCTTTGTGTGTTTTTTATTTTTGGCATACTAATTACTGACGACATCGTATACAATAAAGAAGGCATCGAATTTTCACATCGAATGGGGCGAACTAACGAGTTTTTCTAAGTTGGAATGAAAATAAGGACCCAGATGAGAATAAAATAATTCACGTTCTAATGATTGAATAATTAAGTTTAAATTAAAAATGAAATTAATGCTCCATTCGCTTTCATTCAATACATTCTTGGAAATAACTATAAGGTTTCAAGGCAAAATTTCTTGCTTCGACTTAAGACTCTCTCCCCCGTTTGTCACTGTTTTATACTCGTTTCTATTTTTTCTTCATTATGAAAATTAGAAGGAATAAAAATTAGCATTTTAACTTTAAAAATAAAGCTTTGGCTTCCTTTTGCCGAACAACTAGAAACTTATTAAATTAAACAGAACAAATTTGATGGAATTTTTTTACTTTAATTGGAAAATACACAGTGCGGTGAAATATTTGCGGAGCTCATCAGATTACTTTTTATGTATACGTCATTTACAAGTTATATTAATATTTAAAATTAAATAATTAGTAAGATTAAATTTAAATATTTTTATTAAAAATACGGCATATCGTTAGCATATAGTTCAATTTCACTTTTCTAACAAGTGTTTTTTTTTTAATTTCATTTAAATTTTTTATATTTTAAAAAGAAGTCTCCAACTCCATTTTCTAAAAAGTTGTCCAATTACAAAAAGTTGTAAATTATGTCACAGTAAATACAAATCATTTTTATGATGAATGCCAAATTGTCATTAAGATGAATGGCGCTGAAAGACGCTAATGTTATATACTTAAAGGTTGAAAAATCATTGAAAAAAAATCTTTAATTCTATTATTGTTGTCATGCGTTATAAACATATTTCTTTTGTTTTAAAACAATTGAAATTACTGAATAAAAACTCTGATCGATATAAGTAATTTCAAATTTAGGGAAACTTACGAAAATTCTCTTTAAATTTTGAGTATTTTAATAAATATATACTACTTATGTTAATATAGAATTTTTATATATTTGTTTGGTTGATTGTGGTGACCACCATGACGTCATTGAGAAGTTTCAGAGGAATTTTACATGAAATCTTGTCAGTTTTTCCTCACTATGAACATAATAAAAATTTTTGCTTAAATAAATCAATTTTCTACATATACATAATATGTAAATTTTTATTTCAAATGGTACACCTATTAAATGAAATATAATATACAATTTATTTTATTAATTAAAATAGTTTGAATGAAATTTAAATTACATATACTGTTATTATTACTCTAGAATTATAAATGAAAATATGTAAGTATATGAATGAATCCCTATGACAATATGAAATCCTCTTTATTACAAACTATTATGACCATATGGTAATCTTTTTAATTTTGATAACAAATCAATCCTATTTTATTTTTTGTGTAAATTTAATATTAAATCTTTATTTCAATTATATTCAGAAATTAATAATGATTTTATATGTTAGTATTGATTAAGTATATGTGGGTATATTGCAAACGAGCACAAGTTTTGTTAGAAAACTAAAACATTTATTAAATCAAAAAATGAATTAATTTGAATCTAATCAAATCTTACTACAGAAATTTAATGATTTACGATTTTCTCAAAACGATTATTACATTATCTGGCTATAATTTTATTAAAATATGGTAACAATATTCACATATATTATACAAATACGTATACATATTCATATATATTATATACAAATTAAATTTAGACGAAATTTCTCTAAAATATTGTATGTGATACTTACATGGTTTACTTTTGACATACCATTTGGCACACCTATTATTTTTTATAGATTGTTCTGGTGTTAAATAATCTTTTTCATTTAAACATATTAATTTTTTTTTTAATTCTGCATCTGTTAATTTTTTTGCATCCTTTTCATATATAAATAATTCATCAGGACATTTTTCAACACATACTTGTTGTGTTGGGCAACCAGTTATTGGTGCAAATGGATCAATACAATTTTCTAAATTAAAAAAAAATAAATATGGTTTATCAATAACACCACTATCTTGACCACATCTTCTATTAAATTGATCCGTTGGTGTTAATAACTTATGTAAGTCTCCAAATGTGAAAGCTTAAAATAGATATAAGAAAATAAATTAAAAATTAAATTTGTAAATAAAATAGAATATTTTAAAAAAAATATTGTCTGAATCATATTGTGACACTAGAGTAAGATTGAAAAGACAACAAAGAAGTAGTCCTAAATTTATTAATAAGCAACCATTCAACATATTACTTGAAATTTAGGTACGAAAGTATAAAGAAATTGTTAAGACATTGCCAATTCGACTAAATGCGACTGACTGTAAATTAAGAAACTAAGTTAAGTTTAATATACAAGTTGCAAATTTCATAAAACATTCTAATTCTTAATAATTAAAGCTAATTCTACATTCTTCCATCATTTTATTATTATAGTTCTTTTCCTACCAAATAGATTTTTTAAAGCGTCCTAAAATCCACAATTTATTGATTCAAACTTTAAAATTATGATTAAGGCAGAATATCGAAAATATTCGACAATTAAATGTTGGTTGTCAAACAAAACTCAAACTTTAATTAAACTTCAAACTTTAATTAAACTTTTAGCGAATCAAACTCGAAATCTTTCAATAATATTAATTCAGAATGAAATACCTCTCTAAACCTTAAAATGCATATTGTAACTTTAAAAATAACAAAATTAATATTTAAAAGAATAATTACCATAATAAGCAACATATCCCCAACATCCTAAAAATATTACGAATATAAATAAACACAAAACATCTGTACAAGATCTATTATGTAAGGGTCCTTTAAATGCTCTATCATAAGTTAGTGGTTCTCCTGAAATTACAAAATAAATAAAGAAAATTAAATTAAATTAATTTTTTTTTTAAATACTTAAATTTAAGTAACAATATTGTATAATATGTATATAATCAAATTATTGTTGAAAATTATGAAATTCTTGAATTAATTAAATCTCATTTTACGATTATTGTTATTCATTTTATATAATTCAGTCAGAAAAAAAAGATGTATTGCATGGAAGTGAATTGGGTAGGTAACTAAAAGCTAATTTATAAAAATAAAATTGCTTTAGAAATGAAATTTATTATTATTATTCATATATACTTATATATAAATTATAACAAAATATACATATTTACATACAAACATTTCGATACAGTAATTTCTTCTATAAAATAACACTTATTTTCTTTCAATTTTTTTCCTAATGAGGAACGAAATTTATTGCCGTTGAAATAAACCCAAATTTTTCCAAAATTATTAAGGGTCGGTACACAATTTAAAAACTAAAGATGCCTTCACGCTACATGATTTTCCGTTTGAGTTGTCTGTAATTTGATTGGTTCAGTAACATAATTTACAAAAATGTAAAATCATATAGATTGTTATAAATTGCATTTAAGAAACTCATAATTTTATAATCAAGTACCTTCACATAATATTTTGGAGATATTAAATTTTTAAAACGGTTCTTTTTTCGTTTCAATTTTCTTCTGAAGAATTTGACATTTTGACTATATTATTGAAGTGTATTGATTGAAAAGAAAAATGTGGGAAAAACCAAAAAGTTTTTGTTGAAACTATTTTGATATTAACATCATAAATTACATATTATGCAGAAATGTACATAAAGTATGCATTTCTTAGCAAAAAGTCCATATAAAAATACGGTCAAAATTTTTTACGAGAATTCACTGTACAATTGTTCATGTGCATTCATAATATTAATGTAAATATGTATATATATATATATATATATATATATATATACTACATACACAAACTTACATATAATAGATGTGCAATATATAAATCGGAAGATGAAAGCGTTATTATTATCATCTTCCTATAATATGTAATAATAGGTATGTATGTAGGTAAAATTTAAAAAAGAAACGTCAATAAAGTTTTATATTCATATACGTGCTTACATTATAGTTTATATAAAATATAGTTACACATATTATAATACATATAAGTGCTTATGTATATACATATGTATATAGTTTCTGTTATATAAATATTCATTAAAAGTCGCTCAAATTTAATTTATAAATTTATATATGCTTTAATTAAGTAATAGCAATAGTAATAACAATAGTAATACAATAAGTGAATAAAATAATGAATGCATAATACATAATGTACTTATATTCATACATAAAAGCGAAATAAATATTCTAACTATTGTAGGTGTTTATAACTGTAATAAGTACATAGTGTAAATGAATTTCATTCTAATAAACTATTCTAATGTACGGCCTTACGGAGATGTTCTGTACTTTTGACAATTTCTAATTTGTTATTCTTAATAATAATAAGAGTGAAAGTGAAATTTGATGTACCATAATTCATTAAATTAATATAAATATATGTACATATGTATGTGCTAGTATACGATACAGTGAAAATTAATATTGTAAATGTTTTTGACTTTCCATTTCTTAAAATTTTATTGAAATAGACGAATATCTAATTATAACGTTAAATTTATTTAAGTCAGTGTTTACACATCACAACATTGTGTTCATAACTTTACTTGATTTGATTAAAACATTCATTATGAAGAAATTCCATGTCAATGAATAATAGTGCCAATTATTAATTGTCAATTATGAATGTACTGGGACATAATAGAATTTTTTTTAAATTAATTTTTAAAGTATGTGTAATTTTTAAAGTTGCAGTTGTTTGTAAAAATTTTGTATTAAAATTCATATACTTAATTATTGTAAAATTTTTGAAATTATTTAATACGTATTCCAGAAGAACTTTAATTATAAAATTTCTTTTCGTTTCTTTTTTCCATTGGTGAATCTTTTTTTTAAAACTGCATTTCTTTGTTAAAATTTTGAATACTCGTAAGATGAATATTTTTTTCACCAAGATTGTTCTTTTGCAAAAAATGTAACTAAATATTTTCTCATTTTTAGCACTTTTCCAAAAAATTTTTGAAAAAAAGTGCTTATTAGTTTCACTCTGTCCGTCCGTCCGTCTGTCCGTGTGTCTGTTTACAAAACTTCTACATTCTTAAAGATAGAAAGCTGAAATTTAATATGTACATAGATCTTTACTAGAAACTTATTTTTGTAGAACAAAATTTTTATCTCCCCCCCTCTAGAAGTTATACTCCCCCAAAGCACTAAAAATGGCCTATTTTAAATATTTGTTGCAATGAAACCATAAGCATTTTTGAAATTTTGCAAACGCAGAAAGGCAGTGGCTTGCTTCCCCTACCGCGGTATACTATAGTTAAACTTTGGAAAAACAAAATGGCCGTTCAAATTTACCGTTATCTACAGTCCTTTTTTTCCAAATTTTTGATGTCGTTTTTCTTCTAGACCCCAGCCTGTAGAAGCTTGAAATTTTAGGGGCTTTTAGACATTAACAAGTAGTTCATTTCTTTAGAAGAAAATTTTTTTCCATCTCCACCCCCTCTCAAGTTATGGCCTCTTGAAATTTGTAAAATTTGCATTTTTGACACCTTATATTTCTGAAACCGCAAGCTTTTTCAAATTTCTGTAAACGCAAAAATTTAACGGTAAATTCCACGACATTAAAAAATATAATGATTTTTCTTAACTCACGCAATTAACCCTTAAAATCGAGCATTATGTTAACCCCTGTTTATATTAATTTTTGCTTTATTTCAAAGACTGCATAAATGGTTCATCCTAAATATATGCAATGCTAGAAATAGTTTCGTTTATAAATGAAAATAATTTTAATAGTGTGGTGGATATACATAGATTTTTAAAAGCAGTATTTTCACTTGTTGAAGGGAAAAGTGCTACAATACAAACCATTGGTTTGACCCAACTTTATTCGTATTTAGCCTTTCTATTCAAATCAACACTCTTAACATTCAAGTCAACTTCCATAAAACTAGTGAACCAATTTTTCGTTGAAAATGTTGATATTTTTTCCAAAATTTTTTCTATAGACGTATAAAAAGAAAACTGCCTTTCCATCGGAATAAAATACTTTTATTTTTGCTAATATGTTACACTTATTTCGTCCGTTACATACACAATTTATCAAAGCTGATTTTCTTCAATTAGTGAACTTTGTTTTTACTACAGCAAAAAATGTCAAAAATCAATCGACATTCATAATTAAATTAATCGTTTGAATCTCAATCGTTTCAGCGAAATTTTAATTTTACTATTTTTTTTTTAAAATACCCAAGGGCTAAGTGCCGGAATGCTGTTGTATTCAATTATTTATTCTACAGTAAATTATATACAATATACAGATATACATACATATATTATCTATGCACATACATATGTACAGGATTAAGTAGATTTATATTTATTTAACAACGCATTGCAGTGAAAATTCATAATTTTCAATTCTTCATTTAGTAACGGTACCAAAATACCATTAAAAAATTATTAACTTAATATTAGATCGATCGTGACATGTGTATATTTGCACATAATGTATGTAAGTATGAACATAAGACTCTTTGTTGCAAACTTACTTTAATTTTATATTATTGTTATTATTTTTAACTTAGATATTGGATTACTTTAAAGTTCATACACATGCATACGAGTACTATAAAAAAAATTTTTATTTTTATACTTTGTTTATTCTTATTCATGCATTCTTTATACATACAACATAAATATGTATGTATATATATGTACTTCTTGTTATTATTTACTTATTTACTCAATCATAAACATTTCATTATTTTTTTTTGTACCTACAAAGTAAACTTGTTATACCGGTATTTCATAAAATATTAGCATTAATTAAAAGTATGTATGTATACAAATGTATATAAGCATAAATTAATAATAATTAACTATGTTACACAATACAGTTTTATTGTTTTAAAAGAATTCTAAAACAATAAACAGAATCATGAACATAAGGGATAAATGAAGAATTTTATTAGTCATTTTTTATATGTACAAATATATTTATTTACACATTTATTTATTTAATTTTTTATTATTTAAATAAGCTTGCCACACATGAGAACTATTAAAACATATTATAGAATACTTTAATTCATTCGAAAGAATTACATTACGCATTAGAGCTTAATATTCGCTAATTGCGGTGGACTATAGAAAATTTTATAACTACAAATTTATACCGTCCGTTCCATTAATAAATTTTGTTGGAATGAAATAAAAAGCGGAATTTATTAAGTTAATAAGTATCCATTTCGGTGTTTGAAGGTTTTCCCTATAAATTGAAATTTTATCGCATTTCAGCGGCGCAGGCCAGCGATTTAACAAGTTGATGTTAAAGGCGATTTAAAGGCACTCAAGCAGATTTTTGATTAAGTTAAATCTTGCATGGGGTTAGTTACCAAGGATAGTTTCAAAACAAACACACTATTTTTTATAATAGTTTTTATTTCTGCCATAATCTGTGTTACTATAACGGAAATCATGCACAGTTCCCATTCGCCACTTTCGTTGTTTTTACGACTATAGGTACTGTCAATTTCTTTTAATAAAATTTTAAAGCAATTCTAGAAAAATATTTATGGGTGTTTGAAATTTTAAAGATCTGGCTAGCTTTTTATTTGTTTTTATTATCCAATTCAGAAACGTAAGAGAAAAATAAAAAAAAATATAACAAAATTTGAGTGTTTTTTTTTGTTTTGCTTTCTTAAGATAGTGAATTTGAAATAGATACAAATGAATGTATGGGTGAATGTATATATATAAATTATAAATGTAGATTGTGCTTATTATAATTAATAACCAAGCTCTCTAAGCATATGTTTGTATGTATAATACACATATGTATGTATATAATGTGCACATAGATTTCCCATTTAAAAAATATTTGCATGAATGAAATAATTACAGTATATTAATTCCATTTAAAACCAAAAAAAAATTCTTATTTCGTTTCATATTAAATTCCCTGAAGAATTTCTTAAGAAAGTCAAAAGTTGTTAGTTAAAATATTGTATAGGTTTTCACTTATAGAACAAAATCCAATTATTGTCTAGCTCTAAATTATGTAGGTACGTACATAGGTATGCAAAATCGTTAATAAAAAGTAAAATAATTTGTGTTGCAGAAACGTTTTATCTAAGATTACGTATAAGTACATTTTATTGCTATTAATTTTATTCAATTCAGATAGAAGAAAATAATTAAATAAAATTTAAAATCAATCACCATAAGTGTCATCGGTCGGTAGTAATTCAAAATCATTTGTAACATAATTTTCAACCCTGTCTTTTGATTCACAACAGCTGCAACCCATAATAAATTTTCTTTTCTATTTCTTTATTTATATCTATTTTGAATTCAATTAATATTTTAAACAAATTATTTCAACACTTTTTGTAATTATTTCTCAATTATTTTATATTTTAAATATTTTGCAATTATTTCATAATTTGATTTAATTTTTATATCATATTTCGTTAATATTTTTATTTTAATTTCACATTTTTTCCATTGAAATTATTAAACAATTCGAAATTAGTTTAACCCGCCGCGTTTCGATAATTTTCCAATTTATTTTAAATAAACATGACGCTATGTGCGCTCACCGAAAACTAATTTCAAAACAGAAAATTGTATAGGTACTCGTAAAAGAAGAGAAAACAAACAAAATAAAAATTAAAACACTTATCTAATTTTTGAACTTTGTAAGTTTTGTTATACTTTGCTGCTGTGTAGAAAAAGGCAAACAAAAACATAAAACCAAACTTACAAATTTGAATTTTTTTTTTCAATTCAATTAAAAAGAGAACTCAAAATATAAAAAAAAAGCTTTGAATGACGTTTATAGTATTCTACCGCTTTTAAGACTCAATCATAATTAGTACTTAATGCTCATTGTCATACGAATACGAATATCATCGGTGTACAAATATGTAAAATTTATGAAGTGTATATAAAATTTTATTTTACTAGTTAGAAAATCAATGGAAATTGTTTTTAAATTTTCATACAGATCCACCCAAGTTTTGATTTATATTTTATTTTAATTTAATAATTTTACAAAGCGTTTTTCCCGCCACAAAAATGGTCTATGTATTTTAATTATAAAATTTAAAAAATTGCTGCGTGCTGCAAGCGCTCTGAATTAAAATTTTGAGTTCCTGGCGTCCGAAAATTCCTGGCGTTGGAATTACTCGTAAAAACCTATTTTAATTGTTTTTTATATTGTTAATATTTTGAAATGGCCTGTTTGACGGCCGCGCATTCATTTGAATATAGAATAAAATTGGATAAGCATTAAATTATAAACTGACAAATTAATTTTAAATATTTGTTAAGGGCAGTTTCTCCCAGATCGAAAAAAATTGCAAATGCTGACAATGTTGTTTTAAATTTCTTTTTAAATTTTTGATAAAAATAAACATGGAGCTATTTCAAATGTCAAAGCACATGTAACCTTTTTTATGAATTAGTTAATTAATAATGAATGAATATTTACAGGACGTATAAGTTTTAACTTGAACTAACCAAATGGTAACAAGTATGTGAACTTTGTGGTGCTGTTCTAACTTTATAAGGAAAATATTGTTAATCAGACTTAAATACACATACGCACAATTAGAGGATTCGTCCATAAACGCATTATAGTTTGCATGTCCAACTCCAAATTTTCCAATTGATAATATAATTTTTATACATACTTACAAAAAGAAAAATAACATATGTATGTACATATTACGATTTTCGTTCCATATTAGACTTAAATATTTGTGAATGTTAAATTTTTTTAGCACAAAAAATATCTATACGAATTAGTTTTAAAATTAACCATTGAATTTCTAAATTAGGAAAAAAAATTTATTCTGAACTAGATATTAAACTTGTTTGATCTTGAAGCTTCTATAAATTTACCGGCTACTAAAAAATTACTTTTAAGTATATAAATTACAATTGAATGTATGTGTAGATTTTCGTATGAATAATAAATGTCAGTAATAAATTAGTCAGTGCTCAGTAGTACCTACTCGATATTAATTTCATACTTTGTGAAAATGAGCTTTAAAAGATTTCATTTAAAAATTCATTAATATTTTAAATATAATATGAGTTTGGTTCAATTTATTTAAAAAGAACAGTAGAGTTTATAATAATTTAGATTATAATTGTATAAACTAGTTGATTACAACCCTATGATTATTTGAAGATTTAAAAAATACAATCGATAAAACTTTTATTTCTCACAAAATATGAAGATTTCTACTTAATCTAAAAAATTTATTTCAATATTTTAAACATTGTAAGCAAAACAACAACTCTCAAGTACTGATTGTAAAAATTTTTACATAAAAAATTGAGGAAAAGTCGCGCATTATTTATATCTTCAATTGTAGGTCCCATACGATATTAAAATAGAGCGCCGTGGCGCTTTCTTGTGTTATTGCGGTGAATACTCTATAAAATGTTACATATCTGATATAATAATATTTATTAGGTAAAGGGAATGCCGGTAGAATTGTTTAATAAACACAAGTATTGTAAGCAATAGCAATGTGGTCAACATGTTGCCGATAACATTGCATGTTTCTCACTGTAAAAATAGAGCAGACAAAGAATAGATAAGAAATTTCCAAAAATTTACAAAAAATTCTTTAATTATTGTTTTGAATACGTCAAATAATATAAAATAGAATTTCTAATGACAGATTTGTTAATTTATAAAGCCGAATTTTCGTTTTCTAGTATATGTGAAGTAGTATTCTAGTAAAATTTGATGCGGTTCCAATACCTTAATTATTGTAATTCTAAAATGCGATCTGTAATAATTGAATTTTCACCCTAATGGTTTTATTTTAATATTTTTTTTTTTTCTTTATTGAAACCAATGTATTTTCGCTATTATAACGTACATATGTATATTTACTTGTGAATTATTGCGGATGTTACAAACACATCATTGTTGTGGGCAATTCCAAAATATTATGATATTATTCATAAGTAATGTTATCGCGACAACTGTTTATTGTATATATACAAAGATAACTATACATATGAAATAGAAAGATATCATATACATATTTGCTATAAAATTGAAATAATCTAATTAAATCGTAAAATTGATACATTTGAAAGATAAATTGTGTCAACATATAATTAAATTGAAAACGATCGTTGAACAGCAAAATCATGCACCCTGCATGCAAATATGTTCAAATATTATTTATGCGAGAGAAATTTAGTTCAGATTTTTTTCACAGAACTTAAATATTATTGTTCGGTAAAATAAGAAGTAAAGTATTCAACACAAGGATCTGAACCGGTTCGGTGGTGACAAATTCCGGGACTCGATGATTGAAAGAAGAGGAATGATTTAATAATCATTCAGATGGTTTTAAATAACAGCTCTTAATCTTATGAATCATTTGAAAAACTTTATCAAAAAATTGTTGAAACTAGAACTGAGCCATGGACCTGTATTAATCAAATATGCAACTTAATACGTATGTACTATTTAATACGGCATTGGAATTTATCGAGCTGTGAAAATTTGCTCTATATATACCAAAAATACACTCACTTTTTTAAAATGTATTACAGGGGAATAAAAATATATCAAATTATTTGAGGTGAAATATTTTATTGAATTAACATCTGACAAAAATTGCTATTTGCTTTTATCGCATTGCATGCTTCTTCATTCTAATTTATCTGATGTTAAATAATTAATAGAATGATTTTAAACTAGGCTGTCATTAAATATTAAATTAATTTCACTTTTTAACACAATTTTAGGTTATATACATTTAAACTAAAAACAATGAACAATAAAAATTATTATGACTTTATTAAGGTAAAAGTGTTCTATTTCCACCATTCTAATTAACGGTATAACTTATAAATTATTAATTTTGAAACATGCAATATTAGTAATGGATTTTTTAAAATGGATAACGTGCATAAATGCAATTAAATTTTATGCAATGCATATTAATTTTGCAAAATTGTCTCTTATTAGTGGAAGAAATTGTCACACAAGATATTTTTAGAATAAATGTCTTTGTTGTTGCTTATTTGTATATACGTATATAAGTATGTATATATTCTAAATACATATGTGCATTTATACAATAAAATCACCCGAAAATCTTATATATAATTACCGAAACTTTTGGTCTTGACATGAAATTTAAAATTAGTAATTTTTATAAATGATTAAAAATATTATTTAAAATTTTATAATTTCTATTTTAATTTTATTTAAAAATTTTTTTGGAATTTTTAAATTTTTTTTTGTTTTTTACATATTTTAAATGTCTGTCTGCCTATCATCATTTAATTTAAGTACTATCGCGCATTTACAATTAAATTTTTTTAATCGTTCTCTCCCTCCATTTTCTTATAATTGTTGCTCAAATATAAAATTTTGAAATTTAAAACATATGATGAAATTTAATAGCATATTATTTTAAAATGTTTAATGCATTTGCATATGCAAGAGTACATACTTATAATGAATCAATTTTTAATAAATGAAAAGGATAGGGAAATGCAATCAAATATTTATGAAATGAATTGAACGTGACTAATCGCAATTTAGATACGGTATCATCCTCGTAACTTTAGTCGATAAATTTCACCATTAATAATAAATTAATAGGAAATCTATTTTCTTCTGGGAATTATTAATTTGGAAGGAAAATTATTTTTAAAATAAATAAAAATTGTTAGAAAACCTGTTTTTTAGGAAAATTTTAAAAGGATAAGTATACCGGAATGGATATTACACAAAATTCAATGTAGCATAGTAATGATGCAGAATTTGGAGAATTTTCTTCCACTATGCATATTGATTCTTGTTTTAGCACTGCATATATTGCACTTATAATTAGATTACATATAAATATTTCGAAAAAAGGTTTTGGCCTAGTGAGAAGGCGTAGGAATATTTTTGGCTTTTTAAAATTTTTTTTTCGAAAAAAAAAAAATATATGAAAAGTAATTGAAACCTCGACTATTAAATATTGCCTTAAAGTTACCAAACTATAATTATAAATTTCGCCTATTTTACAGGAGATATACCCGAGGTACAGATATGTATGACATGCTTATAATTTTTAGGAATTTTTTATGGCCAATCGGTATAATATTCCGAAATTCTTATGGCAGTACAAAATCTTTCGATAGCTATATTTGTTAAAGTTTAGATAATTATAAAATTCATATATTTTTATCAATTATAAACCAAATAAATGAGTAAATACATATTTCAAAGTTATTAATACATTTTAAACGTACCACTTCTTCCAGATCCACATAATGGTGATATTTTATGATGAAATTTGGGTATAAATGGTATAATTATCCTTCCCATAATTATTAATTTAAAATTTGGTTTTATTTCACTAGCCAATTTTCATTTTTCATACTTTTAATCAATGTTTAGTTTTTTTCTTCAACAATTTATAATAATAAAATTAAAATTGAAATTAATATAAAATTTTATTTTTAAATTATTTAATTTTTTAAATTAAATATGACTATGTTCTCTAAATCAATAAACATTTTGAATATTTAAGCGATGTCCGACACTTTT